AAGCTTGTTCTAAGTAGGTGCTTTAGACCACTGAGCCATCTCTCCAGCCCCCTATAGATCATTTTTACCAATTGTCCCAATAACATTTTCATAAGAAAAGCCCGGATTATATGTAGCATTCAATTGCCATGTGTTTTAATAAGTTTCCTTATTAATCTAGACTAGTTTCCCAGGCTTTGTCTTTCATGACTTTGGTATTTTGAAACATATAGGCCAGTTTCCTCAGTATTCAGTATGTCTTTGTCCTAGGAATGTTCCTTATGTCTTATTTCTGTTTCTGATTCAGGACCCAGTCTACAATCACATAGCGTTTAGTTGTCATTTCTCAATTTTTTCATCTTTCTTTGTCTTGACATTTTTGAAGAGTATAGGGAAGTTATTCTGTAGAATCACCTCCAATTTGATTTGTTATAGTTTCCCTCGATTTAGCTTATGTACTTTTCATAGGAAAAATAGAGAAACTGTGTCCTTTCGTTATATCACCTCCAATTTGACTTGTTATAGTTTCCCTCGATTTAGCTTATGTACTTTTCATAGGAAAAATAGAGAAACTATGTCCTTTCATTATATCCTATTAGGAGATACATATGGTTGATGTATTACATTATTGATTTTTTTTTTCTTTGAGGTACCAAAATTTTTTTTTTTCATTGAACTCAGGATCTTGTGCTTGCCAGGCAAGCGCTTATTCTACTGAGCATTGTATTACTGATGATAATTAATGTCATCACTTGATTATATGTCAGGTTTTCCACTGTAAAATTATTCCTCTACTTTTTAATTGATTATCTTATGGGAAGAGTTATTTCGAGATTATGAACATGTACTATTACTTTTCAAACTTCAGCCCACTATTTTTAGCACCAGTTTATAGTTTTTCTCTGAAGCAGTAAGTAGTATTCTACTACTTGCCAAATACTGTTTTTCTAATTTTAACGTTACTTAATTGGACATGTACAGAAAAACTTATATGGACATTTTAATACTAAATGTATTGAGGAATCTGAGATTAATGCAAGTTATCTTAGGGCTCTACAATTACCAGAGATGCTCAGTGTGGTAGCCATTAGCTTCCAGACATTAATTAGTATGGTGAACTAATACTTGGGTGATTTTGGTCATTGAGATTGCCACACATGCATTTTCAATTTCTTTTCTAAGAGCTGGCAGTGTACTGGGTTTTCAGTGATATATAATAATAGGTTAAAGGCTAACTGCCTCAACAGCGTGTTGCAAGAAGCAGCAGCATGCTCCCTCTGTTAAGAGATGGAACTTACAGGATGGGGCGATAGCCCAGTAGAATAAAAGATTGCCTGGCAAGGGCCTGAGTTCAATCCCCGGTTCTGCAAAAAAAAAAAAAAAACAGTAGAATAAAAGATTGCCTGGCAAGGGCCTGAGTTCAATCCCCGGTTCTGCAAAAAAAAAAAAAAAAAGAAAAAAAGAAAAGGAACCTACAAATTATTAGAAGAGCAAGCACTTGTAAGGTATAGATTTTATTTTTTATTTGATCAACAAATTTTAAAAACTTGGAGACAGTTTAAAAAATTGAATATGAACTGGACATTTGAAATTAAGGAATTAATAACACTTTAAAGGTATGATATTGTTTTGGTTAGATAGAAAGTTATTTACTTTCAGAAATACGTACTGGACTATATATTGTATGATATTTAGAATTGTTTTCTAGGGTTTTGTTTTTTTTGTTGTTGTTTTTTGTTCCAGGGATTGAACTCTGGACCTTGTGCGTACCAGGCAGGTGCTTATGCTGCTGAGCTATCTCCCTGGCCCAGTAATTCCTGATAGAATGAGAATGCTGTGTGTGAAGTTATACGCCAGGGTTTGCAGATTATCTATAAAGGGCCAGATAATAAATGTTTTAGACTTTGTGAGGCATATGGTCTGTATTACAGCTGCCCATGTCTACTTTTGTAGTGTGAAGGCGGTGCAGACCATACATCAACAAATCAGCACAGCAATATTCCAGCTCAGTTTTACTTATAAAAATAGGTAACAGGCCAGATTTAGTTCACAGGTGCTAATTCCTGTATATATGAAACAGGCTGGCTATGAGATGACACTTGTTGAAGCATGATGGTACATAAGGATTCACTATGCCTGTTTTCTGTACTTCTTATGTATGTTTGAAATTTTCCTATAAATACAAAGCATATGCAGCGAGTTGTTTTGTTCCAACTATTACTAAAGTCTGAAGAACTGTTTTATCATCCTTTCTTGCTCCCAAACAAGCAGTATATTGAACTTTTAGATTTGAAAATGGCCATCATACCTCTGAGCTATTTCGCCCCTTCTGTGTGTCAGACTTCTTTGTGTTCTGAGGCTGATGTACTATGAGTAATAGTCGTGCCTTTCCTCCTCTAGGCATCCGAGACAGAGTGTCTGATTGGGCAGCTTTTCTGCGGCAAGCCCTGATGGGAGCATGTAGTCCTCCTGTTCCACTGCTAGAGGGCGTGAGTATTGTTTGCTGTGTGCCAAAATCACCATGAAAAGCCCTTGCAAGGAATCTAAAATCAGTTGCTAATTTACTACTCTGAAGCAAATTAACATTGTTACTAGAGACATAAGCATAAGTATTACACAGTTTAAATTTATCCTTAGCGGGTGCAGACTGGTGGCTTGCCTAGGTGCTTAAAACTCTTGTGAATTCACTGATAATACATACAATTCTAGTTTTCCAGATTCTTTTACACAGTTGGAAAAATGGGACCTTTGAGAGCACTCACACTGGAATTGAGCAGGGGTTCATTCTGGACAGGTGGACATTTGTAATTCATGCCAGATAACTTGAGACCCCCTTTTCTTTGTTCAGACGTTACTCCTACGTACTTTCAGTAGTCCTTTTAAATTGTGTAGCTTTTGAACTTATTGGTGGGTATAAATTTTTTTGATTATGTGAAAATCTATTTGTTATGAGATTTCTAAATCATACCTTATCACTTTCTATCATACCAGTAGCATTCTTTGTATCGTATGTATGTGAAATGTGATGTTTGAGGTTTCAGTTTCTTTACATCCTTGCCATTCTGTGTTATCTTTTTGGTTATAACTATCTCGTCGGTGTGCTACTCTTTTTGCCTTGAATTTCCCTAAACACTAATGAGGTAGAGCATCATTTTATGTGTTACTCATGCATCTTTTTTTTTTTTTCCTCTTCTTGTAATTAGGACAGGGGCTATAGGGGCTACAGGGTTTCATGTTGTACATTGGACTCATAGTGATTCGCCTGTTTTTGGCCTCCCAAGTGCTGGGATCACAGGCATGCGCCACCACACGCAGTCTCAAACGCCATCTCAGTGGGGCCGACACAGCACACCGGGGATAGAACCCTGACCACTGTCATGCATCTTTTTTTAAGCAATGTTTTTCTTCATTTTAAATGTTGGTTTTCTTTTTATTACTGAATTAAAGGATTTGTGGGGATTTTCTTTCTTTCTTTTTTTTTTTTTTTTGGCAGTACCGGGGATTGAACTCAGGCCCTTTTGCTTGCCAGGCAACTGCATTTTCTACTGAACCATCTCCCCGGCCCCAACAAAGAATTAGATGAAAAAAAAAAAAAAAAAAGAATTAGATGAGAAATGGGCTCTTTTTTTTTGTGGAACTGGGGATTGAACTCAGGCAAGTGCTTGTTCTACTGTGCTATCTCCCCACTGAGGATTCCTTTATTTATTATTATTATTTTTTTTGTGTGTATGGCTGGCTCAGCCCACCCTGTAGGCGGGGCTGGCATGACATTTGGTGTGGGGAATCAAACCACTGAGCTATCTCACTGGCCCTAAAGGATTCCTTATACATGCTGTACAAGTACTGATAGAATATTTGATTTTCAGATATTTTTCTTCTATTCTGAGGGTTGTCTTTATCATTTTGAAAGTGTTTGTTATATAGTCTAACTGTATCTATTTCTTTTGTTGCTTATACTTTGTTGTGTGTGTTTTTAAAAAAATATTTATGTATTTATTTGGTACTTTCGGTAGCCAGCACAGCATGCGGTACTGGAGATCAAACCCGGGTCCTCGCACTTGTCAGGCAGGTGCTTAGACTGATGAGCCGTCTCCCCAGCCCGTGTTGCTTATGCTTTGGGTGCCATATCTGAGTAGGCTTTGCTTAGCCCAGGGTTAACAGAAGTTATTTCTACACTTCTAAGAATTTTATAATTTCAGTTTCTACATTTAATTCTATGATCTCTTCATATCCCCTTTTAAATCTTGATTGTTAAGTATTTCAAGCTGTTCATTTTTATAGTCTCATTTCTTTATGCTCATTCAGAGACTGACATGTATAAAATAGTAAAATTCAAATAAATGAGTGAAGGCATGAATAAATGCACTGATAAAATATGCCCTGCTAAATGCACTGCTCTGCACTGACCATGATTTTGCTATCTTGAAAATTTCATCTGACAACGTATTATTCCGTTGTTTATATGTTCATTGCATGCCTCAGTATGGAAGTTTTATAGACCAATTTTTGGTCAGAAAGAAATGAAAGATTGAGTGTTAAGAAATGATTAAGTGATGACTTTGGAATGAGCATTCCTTTTCCATTTTTTATTGTAGTTTTAATTTTCCTTTCCTTCAGTATAATAAAAAATTCTTACTGAATTCATGAGAACCTTGTAAAATGAGTAAAAACTCAGAAATAAGAATATCGTCAGAAAATAAGTGGATAAATCATTGTGCATTTACAGTAGAGTATCATAATACAGTTCTAAAAATGAGAAAGACATATCTGCTGCACTAGAAACACACTTACAATGTAATAAGTGAAAAACAAACTGGAAAAAAATATATGCTGGTCCCCTTTGAAAAAATAGGAAAAGAGGTAGCAGTTGAGGTACTGATTTTTATGTAGAACAGTGTATATGCCAAAGTATTTATTGTAGTTTTTAGTGATGGGATTATAGGAGACTTTTATTTTATTTAATGATGACAGAGACAAAATAGTAATAATACTCTAAAAATTCTTACTAAATGAAACAAGTCAAATGATAGGAGAATTTAAAAATAATTTTATGGGTAGCTTTTCTTTAAACATTTTCACGTTTAGAAATAATAGTGTAAGAAGTTTATATGGTAGTTGACAGTATCACTTGCTTTTTTTTTTAAATTTTTATTTATGTGTGTGTGTGTGTGTGTGTGTGTGTGTGTGGCCAGCTCAGCCCACCAGGGGGCGGGGCTGGCTGGCATGTGGTGCTGGGGGATTGAACCGCGGTCCCTGTGCTTTGCTAAGCTTGTTCTAAGTAGGTGCTTTAGACCACTGAGCCATCTCACCAGCCCCAAATACAAGATTTTTTTTTTTTTTTTTTTTTTTTTTTTTTTGGTGGAACCAGGGATTGAACTCAGGCCCTTGCGCTTGCCAGGGAAGCGCTTATTCCACTGAGCCATCTCCCCGGTCCCTATCACTTGCTTTTGATAAGCAAAAATATTAAAGTTGGTTTGAAAGAATTTAAAACTCTTAAAAATATGTTAACTTCTCTTATTTAATCTCTTTCCTTTTTTTAACATATAGCTCCGCCATGGAAGGAATCCTTTAGATCTCATTGCTCCAGGATCCAGGCTAGAATGCCAAGCGTTTTGGGACACTCTAAGCACTTGGATTGTTACTGTAGTAGAAAACATTGGGGGACGGCTGAAGCTGCGTTATGAAGGACTGGAAAGTACTGATAATTTTGAACATTGGTTATATTACTTGGATCCATTTCTTCATCATGTTGGTTGGGCTGCTCAACAAGGATATCAGCTTGAGCCCCCACAGGGTAAAGAGTAATATAGATTTTTTTATTAACACATTATTATTTATATCTATGAAACTGAAAAACATTCTTATTAAAGCCTTTGTTAGCTCATAACAGCAATATTATGATAAATTTATGTTGTTAAACTAAATGCCTATTTTTCTTGAATTTATAACTTTTCACACATATTGATAAAACTTGTGCTAACCCCTTATCAAAACAAAAAAATTTTCTGAGTAGCATTCAGATGATTGTGTTAAAGTAAATTCTAAATTATGGACTATATGAATCCTTATGATATTACTGTATGTGTTTTCATAAAGCTTAGCTCTCTGGGCTCTGAACAGAGCAGAGTGCTGAGGTTGAGATGCAAGTTCTTTTCAGTGAAGATGGTGATAAAGGGCTTGAACTTTGTCCTGTTCTCAGTGGGAAGTACTCCTTTTCTTTATGTGGATGGTTTCGAAATAGTTGCATATAGTATGTAGGCCTTCTTATCTAAAGCATACTGTCCTGTCTTACTAAAGCCGTCAGACATTTGAAAAATGAAGCTGAGTGGAAGGAGATTTTGACCAAAGTCCAGGAGGAGGAAGAAGAGCCATTGCCATCTTATTTATTTAAGGTAAAAACAAAAACACTTGATAGATAGTATTTTTCTTCTTATAGCAGGGGAAAGCAATTTGGAAGAGAAGTGAAAAATAACCCCCAGAAACACAAGAATGCCCTGGCTATACAGAAGGGAGGTGGGATTAAGGCTGGTCCTAGGATCACTTGGGTTTTTTTTTGCTGTGCTTATGTGTGCTTATTTGGATTTTCTCTCCAAGTCTTCTTAAGGCAGTTTGACTATTTTTCTCTTCTACTTTTAAATGGATAGCCTTAATTTGTTATGAAATAAATTTGGTTTTTCCTCTAAATGTTCCTTGTGTTCTAAATGTAGAGAGAAAATGTACCCTCTATGTTGTTTTTTGTCCTCAATAGTATTTTCCAGGGAAGAAATTATAAGACTTAACTATTTTAATTAATTAGAGCACTGTTCAGTTGTATCTGAGTATAAAGTTAATACAGAATATGCCACATTTTTATTCCCTTTCATTGTTTTCTTTTCAGGACAAACAGATTATTGGCGTTCATGCATTCTCTGTAAATATGAAATTGGAAGCTGTGTACCCATGGTCACCTTTTGAGATCTCTCCTGCTACAGTTGTTAAGGTAAAGTGGAAGGAATTCTCTTGGGAAAAATCCCATCATAGTGACTGGTTTAGGAAATCACAGTGCTTTGCTCTTCATTCTTTGTTAATCTAACTTGCTGCCAGGTGTGGTGGTGTATACCTGTACCCCCAGCATTCGGGAGGCTGAGGCAGGGGGATTGCTGCAAGTTTGAGGCTGAGGGCTACATAGCGAGTTGAAGGCCGTCCTGAACTACCTAGCAAAACTTCACCTCATAACAGAAAACAAAGCAAAATGAAACATCTAATGTTTGAGATCAGCCAGAATTACTTCTGTGCACATTTTGTCCTTTATTGTTCAGTTTTCTGTGGACAGTTCTTTCTTCAGAGCTTGGTAAACATACATTATAAAGCAAAGAAGACTTATGTCCTCGGCACCAAATAGAGAGGAGGAGGCTATAAAGAATGGGTGTGCTCCAAAGAGGGGCCGGCCTAACTATATATAACTGGAGGAGGTTTAACTGGTATGTAGTCACTGAGTCTGTGAAGTATAGAGGCAGGAGTGTCGTTGCTGTCCTGCCTGGTACAGAGTTTATTGGGATCAGGAGATGTATGGGAAGCAGGCAATCCTCATCACAAGATCTGGCGGCAGGGTGGCTACAACCTCATATTCCAGATTCAGATTTTACTCCTCAAAAGACTGAAAAATGTCAGGCTTTTATTAGGAGTAACCAGAAAGGCTGAGCACATTGTCAATAGCCTGTGGCTCACTTACTATATAAGAGAGAGGGTTCAGTTTAGGACCACAGCAGAAGCCCATTTATAGAAAGTAGACCTAGAGATGGAGAACAACTGAGGCATCGTTTCTTGACTGCTGAAACATCTGAGCTGGTGAGGTACAACTTTTCCTTTGGTAGAAGATTATCTCTGAGAAAGAGAGAATTCCGAACTTGTAGGTAAAGTCATAATACCGTATTGTCTGAATAAATGTGTGGTTAGGAACTAAAAGAAGTTTATTAGCTTCTCTTTAGCATTGGAAACTGGGCAAGGATCTGTAGTTGACCCTTTACTAAGCTTAATCTAAATTTTACTTGGAGCCCAACTATTGGGTTTGAATCCGATTTCTGCTACTCCTGACTGTACAGCCTGGGACAAGTTGTTCATTTAAAATGCATTTTCCTTACCTAAAAAATGGAGTTGTTAATGTAGCCTCTGTCACTAGATTGTCAGGAAGATTAAAGCTAAATTAATATGTGGTCTGATTAAAAAAAATAGGATGAATTTTAAAAAGCGGTTAAGTAAAAGACACATTGCCACTAACCCCCCTTCAAAATATTTTCCCATGCTTTGAACATACCACATGATTTTTGCCAATTTCTGAAGTAGTTCTGAAAGTCGTCTCTTCGGTGTGTGTCTTTAGCTGCCTCAGTGTCCTGAATTGATTCAAAATACTTATCTTTCATAATCATTTTGGTTTTGGGAAAGAATCAGCGGTCTCATGGTGCCAAGTCCTGGGGAGGGTGTTTTTGCAGACTGCCTTTCCGTTGGATGGCATTCGATAACAGCATCACCATTTTTTTCATTACACTTCTTAAAGACACTCAGAAGAAATTCTCAGAAAGTGGCTAAGAACTGCTTCAGAAAGTGGCAAGACTTACGGAATAAGTGCATTTGAAGTGAGGGTAGTATTTTGAGAGAATTCGATGGCAGCTTGTCTTGTACTATTATTAGTTTTTAAAATTAAATATTCAGCATGTATTTTGATTATCATGTGTCATATTTAAGGTTGTGTCTGACACAGCTAACATTTACTGAGCATTTGTAACATGTTTGGCTGCACTGAGAAAAAAAGGCATATATATGTATGTGAACATACATGTAACCATTTATTTCATCTATTGATTGCATGAGCAGGTTTTTGATGAGAAGTACTTTCTGGTGCAGATGGATGATTTGCGACCAGAGGGCCATGCACGGCGATCATTTGTGTGCCATGTTAATAGTCCTGGCATTTTCCCTGTACAGTGGAGTCTAAAGAATGGTATAAACATCAGTCCACCTCCAGGTATGCATTCATAGCCTTTGGTGTTGTTCCTTTACAGGACTTGTGTAGAGTGGTATTTCCAAGCTCTTTCATTCAACTCCTCATAACCCTAGTATTTTAGGAACCGAAGTCAAATAGTAATGAAAGTCTGACTCTATATATTTATATATTTGAAAGTGATAATTAAGAAACTGTTAAGAGTATGTTCCAGCCTCAGACTTTGACATTTACATTTGCATGATCAAAAGGCCAGATTCATGCCCTATTCTCTGCTGGCTCTGTGTGGGCTCTGCCTTGGCATCTGTTGGGCAGTTGGGATGGGCTGGGGTGTACACTGAGCATTTGGAGCTGGCTCGTGAGCCATAGCTGGGAGGTAGATGACTGATTATGTTCAGAATCCAGGCCTTGTGGATGGTGTTGATAGTGGGAAGTTAGGGTCAAAAGTAGGACTTAGAGGGACTTGAAGTAGTAAAGTAATACTTTCAAAATGTAATTTTGACTTTTTAATAAAGACACTTAATTATCATTTAGTTGTGCTTGATTCTTTTTTAATATATTTGGTACAGGGTCTTACTATGCAGCTAGGACTCATAGTGAGCCTCCTGTTTTCAGCCACCCCATCCCTGAGATTACAGACCTGTGCCACCATGCTGGGTCTTGGTGGCTCGCTCATTGCACCCCAGGGACAGGGGCAGGCTGGCGTGGCATGTAGTGCCCGGGATCAAACCTTGGTCCCTGTGTTTGCCTAAACAGGCACTTAATTTACTGAGCTATCTTGTCAGCCCTTAATTGAATTTTTAAAAATTTTATTTATTTTGAGACAGGATCTTGCTATGTAATTTAGACTGGAGTTGGACCTATGGTGATCCTCCTACCTGAGCCCCCTAATTGTAGCTGGGATTGTAGGGTTGTGCCTCCACCTCCAGTGAAAATTTTTTTATACTTCTCAACTTAGAGTATCAGAAAAATCTCAGATGTTGAGCGGGCCAGATAGGTCTGCAGACTGAAATGCCTGCTGAGGCTGAGCGAAGTGCCCAGGGTTCCATCCCTGGCATGCCATGCTGGCCCCGCCCCTGGGGCACTCTGAGACCCAGTGGCAGGCTAAAACTGTGATTGAGATTGGGCGTGGTGGCACATGCCTGTAATTCCAGCACTTGGGAGGCTGAAAACAGGAGAATCACTACGAGTCTGATCTACGTAGTGAGACCCTGTAGATCCTGTGCTAAAATGCATAAAAAAAGAAGAAAAGAAAAAAGAAAAATATCACATGTTTATCTGATTTTTAGATGAGTAAATCAGATTGACCAGAAGTCTATGTTGACATCATTAGTAGTCTTTTGCTAAACATGCCCTCACTTTCTAAATAGTACTAAATCCTGAACAGTGGCTGGAAGCACTCTTTTGTGTTAGTAGGGGCAGTAAACTCAGAACCAGTAAACATTTACGGAATGTTTGCTATGACCCAGACATTGACTCTGACATTTTCTCACTGGGAGATAAAAACAAGCATAACTCTGTTCCTTTAGGGGCAGCTCAGACCCAGGTGGGGACACAGAAGTTGCCCTGTTCTCCATCAGGGAGCAGAGCTTAGGAATGTGGCAGGGTATGGGATGGAGCACCTACAGAAGGAAGCTCTTCCTTTGCAGATGGGCACAGGTGGAACATTCTGAAGTTCTTTATCTTGCTTTTCCCCTTCGTGTAAAAAAGAAGCAATTATTAAGGATACCAGAATTCTGAGCATATTTAATAGCCTCATCAATTGCTTTGTAAACAGAGAGAAGGTAAATTATGTAATTGAAAATGGTATAAAGTATACTACTGGGGGCCAGGAAGATGGCTCAGTGGAATAAGCACTTCCCTGGCAAGCGCAAGGGCCTGAGTTCAATTCCCGGTTCCGAAAAAAAAAAAAGAATAAAGTATACTACGAAGAAATGAGAGGGTGGCCATATATTTCTCAGTTAGGCGGGAAAAGTTGATTTCAGGGGCTGTTTGGCTATAGAAGAGCACAGTCGTTTTTAAGAGACAGGGTCTCACTGTAATACAGACTGGCCTTGAACTCAGGAGTTCCTCCTTCCTCAGCCTTCCAAGTGGTAGTATTATAGGCATGTGCTACCATCCCTGGCAGGAAGCATAGTGTTGAGGAGTTTTAAGTGTCTGCAGTACTAAGCTCTGCAAAGGCATAGAACAACTCAAACACAGCAAACGGGCCCTCCAGCTCCTTGCATGTAGATGGTGCAGAGTCAAGGTCCTCATATGGAACTTTGTCAGGTCCTAGGTAGGCTGAAGTATGGACTTAAGCCTAACTTTTCCTGAAATGAATTCATGATTTAAATTTTAAGAGCATTGTGATTTAAAAAATGTTTTTCTAATTGACACACAATTATATGTGTTTTTAGGATGTAATGTGGCATTTTGGTGCACATATGCACTATATGATGATCAAATCATGATAATTGCATGTCTGTCATTTCAGAACCATCATTTTTCCTATATGCTGAGAAGATCAAAATTCTTTGTTTTGAAATGTTCAACCTAATTGTTGATTGTAGTTACCCTATTGTGCTGTATAACAAAAGTTACTGCACTTACCCTTCTGTACTCTTATCTCTTAACCATCCTCTTCCCAACCCTCAGAGCACTGAGATTCTGTAATATATCTGAAAACAGTGCTAAGAGTATTATATCAAAGGCCGAGGATATAGCTCAGTGATATAAGCACTCAGTGATATAAGCAGAGGTCTTGAATTGAATCCCTGGTACCAACAAAATAAAAAAATAAGAGCATTATGTCAGTAATTAGCTAAAGACATGATCTAATGAAACAGCCTTATGAAAGAAAAGTCTTCACTGATTAAATAGTATTATTGGCTGTCAAACATAACTCCTAATAAGGCTAGATTAAATTACATGGGTCAATTCCAGTCATAACTGTCTTAATTCTTTTGGTAAATGCCAGCAATTTATAATATAAAATATTACTCAAAATAAATATCTGGTTTGAGGTATGAAATTTTAAAAGTTTATCTGGAGAATTTCATTGTATTATAGTTTGTCCAGAAATATTTTATTTAATAAAATTTAACTATTCAAGGCTCTGGGTTCAGTCCAAATACTTGAAGGGGAAAAAACAGCTCAGTGCAGTAGTATAAGTCTGTAATCCCAGCATGTAAGGAGACTGAGACAGGAGGATCACAAGTGTGAGCCCCGCCTGGGCAACCTAGTGAGACCCTGTCTGCAAAAGAAAAGAAAGAAAAGGGTAAGTATGCATCTTGGTGATAGAACGCACCCCCAGCTTCAGCTTCTTAGTACTAGAAATACTACCAACTATGCTTTGGATTTATGGAATGTTTTTCCTCTCTATAAAATTAGCAACATTTGGAAGTCATGGGTGGACACCTAGCAAAGTAGCAGAGCCAGACAAGCACATGTGATGTGAATTATTGCTCTTTGTCTGCATGCAGGATACCCAAGCCAGGACTTCGACTGGGCTGACTACCTCAAGCAGTGTGGTGCTGAAGCTGCTCCCCAGCGGTACTTCCCTCTGGTGAGACCCCTCGTGGCCACTATGCGAGGGCTGCGCACCTCTGTGCTTCCCCTGCTTTTTATGACTGTTAACTCTCAAGTGAAATCATCTCTCTCAACCCAAATCACCACTTTCCTGATTATAATAAAACAGTCCAAAGAAAAATATATGTACTGTAGCAGTTAGTTTGCTAATCAAGTTAGTTTCATAAGTTTCAGCAGCTTTAATTTTTTGAAGCAACTGAAATCATGTAAATTTAAGATTTTATTTCATACTGTAATATGAAAAAAATACTGAACTATGAAGTGGAAAAAATGTTAAGCTTATTTAAAAAAATATTTTTTTTTTTTTTTGCATTTTTTAGGGAAGGGTATACAGGGTATTCAGGGTCTCACTACTAGAACAGAATTGTAGTGATCCCCCGTTTACAGCCTCCCAAGTGTTGGGATTACAGGCGTGTGCCACCACGCCCAGGCTCAGTTGCCCTCTCAGTGTGCCCCAGGGGTGGGGCCAGCATGCCAGGCCTGAGGATCAAACCCCCAGCCCCTGCACCTGTTTGCAGGTGCTTTAATCTGCTGAGCTATTTGGCCAGCTATTTAAAATATTTCTATCCAAATATATCCATATGTTTTTAAAAAATAGCAGTAAAAAGTTTAAGAATGTAGAAACACAGTCTCTGTCCTATTACTTTCCTCAGCGTCCTTTCCTAGGAGTGACCTCTTCCTTTTTTTTCCCCCTGAGATAAGAGTCAGATTATGTAGTTCAGGCTGGCCTTGAACTTGATGTGTAGCCCAGATTGGCCACAAACTGACAGTAACCCTTCTGTCTCAACCTGCCAAGCACGCCACTATGCTTGGCTACCACTTCCTGTTCTCATCAGGAATATGTAATTTGGTGGTTAAATTTCATTGTTAAAATAATATACTGCCATAATTTTACTATTAATTATATTACCATAAACGAATATTTAGCTATTTTATACTACATTGTCCCTTTACCTTACTTACATCTTTTTCTTGTTAAGATTATGTCTCTTTCTTTTTTTTCTTTTTTTTTTTTTTTTTTTTTTAGTACAGGGTCTACAGGGTCTCACTGCATAGATTGGACTTATAGTGGTCCACCTGTGTTCAGCCTCCCAAGAGCTGGGATTACAAGCATGTGCCACCATGCCCAGTCTCAGTCCTTGTCTCAGCACACCCAGGCATGCTGGGGATCGAACCCTGGCCACTATATCTGCCTAAGCAGGAGCTTTAATTCCCTGAGCTATTTGGCTGGCCCTAAGATTATATTTCAATTTTTGGCAAAATCTGGAAAGTTTTGCCTTGATTTGAGCATTCAAACATTTACAACTGAGTATTTGCAGTATTTTATGCTTTTTTAAAATTTGTTTTCATGTTAACAATTTTTTAATTTTCTTTTTTTTTTTTTATCTTTTTGAGATAGTGTTTCACTATGCAGGTTGAGCTGGCCTTGAGCCCACTTTGTAGTCAAGGTTGGCCTCTAACTCGCAGTGATCCTCTTACCTCAGCCTCCTGAGTGCTGGGATTACAGGCATGCACGATCATGCCCAGCCTTTCTTTGTCTGTCTGTCTGTCTGTCTTTCTGTCTTTCTTTCTTTCTTTCTTTCTTTCTTTTTCTTTTTTTTTTTTTTTTTTTTTTTTTTTTTTGTGGAACCAGGGATTGAACTCAGGCCCTTGCGCTTGCCAGGGAAGTGCTTAGTCCACTGAGCCATCTCCCAAGCCCTTGTTTATCATATGGTTAGTTTACCTTTGTATCTACTGCTACCTCTCCTAATAGCCTGTTCTTACATCAGGAAATTTCTGATTTCTAAAACTTTTCTTAGACATCCTTCTTAATGACTTCCACTTTTTCCCTCTGCACAGGTTCTCCAGAGTTGCTCTGTAGACATAATTGTAGATCTACCCTTCCCTCATTTCCTGTGATTTGAGGTCTCTAGTTTTGTAGTGTATTACATGACCTTCCTGTTCTCAGTTTACATCCCTGTGTTGATGGACCCATGGCCTCTCACTATTTTCTTAAGATGGTGAGAGGGATGTAAATTGGTGTATATTTGAAAATGTCAGCTAACTTGATTCATGGTTTGGCTTAATAAGGAATTTTAGATTGAAAGTTATTTTACCTTAGAATTTTGAAAACATTACTTAAGTTGTTTTTTGACTTCAGTATGGCTGCCAAGAAGTTAAAAGCTATTCTTAGTCTTGCCTTTTAGGATGACCTGATTTTTCTGTGGTGGAAGGTTGTAAGAGTCTTTTTGTTATTCTTCTCACAGTAATGGCACGTTGATGTAGACTCTGTATGTCTGGACACTCATGCCTTCCTGTGCTTCGAAATTTTCTGGAATCATTTCTTTCTTTTGGTTTTGCTCTTGTCTTTTTTCTAGAGTTTAAAATTTTTAGGTATCAATCTTCAGGATCTAACCTCTACTTGTCTTTTTCTTTAACCTTTTTTGTCCTATTTTTTGTTTCTTAGTCTTTCTTGTCTTGTTTTTGGGAAGAAATCATAAACCCTTTTGGGATTTTAGTTTTTCAAACTATTCCCCAAGCTATTTCCCAAGCTATTTCTCCTCTCTGAATAGCTCTGTATTTTTTATGATATACCATTCTTGCTTTAAGGTTACATTAGTTATTTTTCCTCAGAAAATATTAATGAACCACCTTCTGGGAGGTTTTCTTGCATACTCACTTCTTCACTAAGTTGCTTATTTTGTGTTTTAGTCTGTAGGTTTCATATCTGTATATCTAGTAGTTCTTCGTTAATGTTTATATTTAAAAGTGGGAGGGCCAGCCAAATAGTTCAGTGGATTAAAGTGGCTGCAAGAAGGCACAGGGGCTGGGGTTCGATGGGGGGGGGGCCTGCTGTGCTGACCCTGACCTCAGGGCGTGCTGAGAAGGCAATTGAGACTGGTTGTGGTGGTGCATGCCTGTAATCCCAGCTCTTGGGAGGCTGTAAACAGGCGGATCACTAGGAGTCTGATCTAGTAGTGTAACCCTGAACACCTTGTAAACCCTTCTCTAAAATATATATAAATAAATAAAAGTGGGAGATTAAAGAAAAACTGATTGGAAACTGAGCATGTGACAGAGACCTGTCAACCTTGAACTTTCCTTGAGGGTAGGATTCAGTCACCATTTGTTGAAGAAACTTAAATCTTACCTTTGTATGCTTCTTCCTGGGCTTGCCATATTACCACAAGAAGTCTCTTCTAGCCCTTGCCTGATAGGATGAAGCCAGGCCAAGCCATGGCATTCCATGCATGCTGTTAACAGTTCCTTGTGTCCTCTTGCCCAGGGATCTCGTGTTTTACCCTGTGTATAGGCTAAATCTAACCTCTTTCAGAGGGTAGGAAGAGACAATTGCCCTGGAGATGGAGTAGGGGAGCCACCGATGGCATGACCTAAATCCTTATAGCTCAGCGGATTAAAGCGCCCACCTGCTTAGGCAGACACGGGCCGGGAGTTCGAACTGCCCCTGGGGCACGTTGAGACTGAAAATGAGACTGGGCATGGTGGCGCACACCTGTAATCCCAGCACTTGGGAGGCTGTAAACATGAGGATCACTACGAGTCCGATCTATAGAGAGACCTTGTAGACCCTGTCCTAAAAATACAAAATAACCAAAAAAAAATTGTCCAACAAATTCTTTTTGTTTTGACTTTTTCTCTTCTCCCTCCCATTGCGAAGTACCCATTTTGGAATCTTAGCTTTCTTCATTTCCAGCTGAAATTCATCTTTATTTGTTATACTTATTTAAAAGACATTCTGAATTTTGGCTTATAAAATGTGTCTTCTCCTGTTATATCCATCCTGTTAGGTTTATATCTTTAAAAAACAAAAACCAAAAAACTTTTAGTGAAGTATCGGAGCTGTTGAATGCTGATACTCAGTTGTCGGTCTTGACCTAGAAGCTGCAATTTTTAAAAACTTGTTTTATTTTTTTATTTTTTTGGTGGAACCGGGGATTGAACTCAGGTCCTTGCGCTTGCCAGGGAAGCGCTTATTCCACTGAGCCATCTCCCTGGCCCCTAAAAACATGTTTTAAATGACCTTCGCCATTTGTAAGCATTTTTTATCCTGACTTCCTGTTATAAATACACATAGACGTATACACCAGGCAGTTCACTCATGGTAGAGCCTTTTCAGGGAGGAGAAGCAAACCACTTAGTTCAGGGCACAGAGCCTTGTGTACCTTATTTCACTGATACTTTGTTAGTTGCATCTGAGAATGAGGAAACTGAGGGAAAAAGAGATTACATAGTTTGAACAGAGTCATCATCCATGTAGCAGTATCCAGGAATATCTTTATCTAAAGATCATACTGCCTATAACACCAAGTTATTCCCATTGCTTCCTTAAAAGACAAAGCAAAATAAAAATTAGCTGTAAAGTGGACTTAGGAATTGAATGCTATTTACAGAAAGATTCATCCAGCTGAGCACATGAATTAATACTGTTAATCCAGTAATTTTGTGCATATGTTTTTCATAAGAAAAAGCTTATATATAATGAATATCCTTCAGTATATCATTTGATGAGTTTTAACAATTGGATACAATTGAAGATTCTGGGCATGGTGGTGCTGTGGTGCCTGCCATAGTCCCAGGTACTAAGGAGGCCAATGCAGAAGTATCACAAGTTTGAGGCCAACCTTAGAAACTTGAGACTCTATCTCAAAATAAATTAAAATTACAGAAAGGAACTGGGATGTAGCTTAGTGCTACTTTCCCTGGGTTCCCTGAGTTGAGTATCCAATATGGGGATATAGGGGTGGTGGTAGAACATTAATTATTATTAGTCCCAGAAAATTCCCTCATGTCCATTCTCATTCATTTTTCACAATAGTCCATCAAGAAATAAACGTTCAGTAAATTGATTTGATTCATTTTTTCAGTCAGTTTCTGAGCATGAATTTAAGGAGAACATGAAGCTTGAGGCAGTGAATCCTCTTTTCCGAGAAGAAGTGTGCATTGCCACCATCACTGCAGTCAGAGGCTCCTACCTGTGGCTCCAGCTGGAGGGTAAGTGCAGGCCCCCGAAGTTCGCTGGGCCGTTCTCCTTTCCCTTCCTGTTCACTGTTTTCATGTCGCTTGTTAGACTTCATGAACAAGTAAGTCATGAACTTTTTCAGAGAATTCTAACCTGAAATGCATGGTTCTAAACTAAAAATTATTTTTCTGTCCTTGGCTTTCAATTTTTAGGGAATGAAGTGGATAGGGTCCTTGAAAAATCAGATTTTATTGATACATTTTAGATATATATGATGATCACATTTATCATAGAGAATTTGTACCTCTACATGAGGTAAATTATTTTTCCATTCCTCTAACCTCCCTTCAACCCTTTCTTCTCTCCTCACTTACAAAAGCTTTGTTTTCATTCTTCTTTTAAAATTTTGATTGATACAGGGTGCAGCTCAGACTCATAGTGATCTTCTTTCTCAGCCTCCCCAGTGCTGAGATTGCAGGTGTGCACAACCACACCCAGTTTCAGGGCTGGCATGGCACACGTAGGGTTGTGGGGCCAGTATGACATGCGGTACAGGGGATCGAATTCAGGTCCTTGCACTTGTCAAGCAGGTACTTTAAACTGCCAATGTTTCCCCAGCCCTTTGTTTCTATTCTTTTCTCATTTTTTAAAACTTTTCCCTTCTTTCCTTTCTCCTTCCCTTCTAACTTGTTCCTCTCCTATTTGAACATTTTCTTCCTATTTCACAATACCTATTGTACATTTTGGTCCTTATTTACACTTTTGATTTCTCACACCAGAGAAACAATGCTAGGTATTTACATGTGTCCACTTTATTTCACTTGAGAGTGTTAGAATCCTTTATTTTCTTGAAGTCACATAGAATGTATTTTTATGTGACCAGAATAAATGAGCATGAACATTAACAGTAGACTTAGTAAAGAGATGTTTTGGTTATCCCAAACCTACAGAACTAGAAAGTATATAAAATAGAAATTATTTATTCACCCTAGTATTTGGTGATTGGGCACATTTATGGAATGAAGTGTTTAGTGCAGCAGTTACTGTGTGTGGCCTGGATTACTTTTTCATCCTATTGTCAAGTAATCATACTCTGAGAAGCTACCTATTGCTTCTGATTTTTTAGAATTGGCATTTAATACAAAAGTGAAGGACAGTATTAAATGTAGAGTTTTATGCAACCTCTTCTGAGCAACTTGGCCTGGTTGCTTTCTGATTTGAATGTAGTGTTCTACCTTCTGGCTTATTGTCAGAGTATCAGAACTAATATTATATTTGAATAGAACTGTCACTTTGCCTTTTGGTTTCTAGTTATTTCAAGGAATTGAGTATAATTGTTAGCCATCTGAATAATACCGTTGGTAGTTCCAGTTTATTTGCTGTTCTTTACTTGGCCTTATTTTGACTACCCATTTTGGTTCTTAAAAGTTACGCATAGTACTTTTTTATGTTTGTCATACATAAGAAAGTATGACTTCCATGAAAAAGATGCTTTTAAGAGACTTGTTCCTTTATTATTGCAGCAGTAGAACATTGTTTAGAAAGTACTGTACTGTACTTTATGAAGGCTATTTAATGAGCTTAAAGTATACCTCTTTTTGTTTTGCTTTTTAAACAGGATCTAAGAAGCCTGTACCTGAATGTATTGTGAGCGTGGAATCCATGGACATATTTCCTTTGGGCTGGTGTGAGACCAATGGCCACCCTCTCAGCACTCCTCGCCGGGCACGAGGTATCTATTTTTGGTGTAGAGGGCTGATTGTTAAATGATCTTTTGTGTGGCAACCACCAGTTAGTTTGAATCTGGACATTTCAGGAAAAGAATTATATTCTGCGTGCATAGACAATTACATATTACAACAACATTTTTAAAATTTATTTTATTTTATTTTTTACAGCTTCTGTTGTCTGAGTATCTGGGTTTCTGGGTACAACTCCAGTGGGGCCTCTGGATCCAGGTCTTTTGTAGGTTGCAGTGAAGTTGTCAGCCAGGGAAAGAGTCCTCTCAGGGCTCACCTTGAGGAGAATCTACTTTCAGCTTTACTCAAATGCTTGTTGGCAGGCATCTTAATCCATTATGATTGCTAGGACAAAATGTCATAGACTGAGTAACTTGTAAACAATATATTACTGGAGGCTGGGAGATCCAAGAGCAAGGTGTCAGAAAATTCAGTCTGCTATGACGTCATGTTTCTTGGTTCACAGAAGAAGCATTCTTACTATGTCTTCAAGACGTTCTAACTTTCTAGGGCTTCTTTTAATTAGGCACTAATTCTGATCTTGCCCCTATGATCTAATCACCTTCCAAAGACCCCATTTTCTAATATGAATTCATAGGTGATTAGGTTTCAGGATAAAATAGGGAACATAGACATTCAGACCAAAGCAACAAGAATTCAGTTCCTTGGGCCATTGAACCAAGGATTTCAGATTTTTGCTAGCTGTTGGCTTGACGTTTCCCTTAGATCTCTGTTACACGGATGTCTCTATAGGGCAACTCATAGCATGACAGCTGGCTTCTGTAGGAATGAGGACATGAGAATGAGAGAGGCTGGAGGAAGAGAAAGCCAGAGCCATTCCGTATTCTAATCTTGAAAGTACTGCCCATCTCCCCTCTTTGAAAAAGTTTTATTGAGATACAACTAACATCTGTGAAATTTGTTCTTTTAAATACAATTCAGGGGCTGGGGATTTGGCATAGTAATAGAACACTTGCCTAGCAATCTGAAAGCCCTGGGTTTTGTCCTTGGCAACAAAACCAAAAAATAAACCTCTCCTAAAACACAATTCAGTGGTTTTAGTGTATTCACAGAGTTGTACAATTATCACAATTAATTTAAAACTGTGTTCATTTCTGAAACCCCACATCCTTTAGAAACACCTTCTTCCAAGGCAGCCACTACTACTTTCTATCTCTGTAGATTTGATCATGCTGGACACTTCATATAAATGAAATCACGCAGTAGAATATGTCTGTCTGTGACTGCCTTCTTTCATTTAGCATAATTCAACCCATCCTCTAATGACTCTCAGTACTTTTCTGTCATATGACTGTGACACATTTGTTTAATTATTGGTGGATGAACATTTAGGTTGTTTCCATTATTATTATAATAAATAATCCTGCTTTGAACATTAGTAACCTGGTTTTATATAGACATATTTTCATTTCTCTTGGGTATATTATGAGAAGTAGTATTGCTGAATCATATGGTAACTCTATATTTAACGGATCGGGGAGCCACCAAACTCTTTTTGAAAGCAGCTGCATCATTTGTCTCCCTACCAGCAATGTGTGAGGCTCCAGTAATTGCACAACCACCCCAACACTTACGTTGTATTTTTGTTTGCCTTTGATAATCATCTTAATGTGCATAAAATATTATCGTGGAATTTTGATTTGCTTTTTCCTAGTAATTAGTCACACTGAGCATCTTTCACCTATTTTGATGGCTATTAGCATATCTTCTCTGGAAAACTATACTTAAGCCCTTTGCCATTTTAATTTTTTATTTTAAAATTTTTTATTGGTATACATTAATTTTATAAGATACTGGGTTTTAATACATTTTCATATATGCATAAAACATTTTGATCATATCTATCCCTGTATTACCCTCTCTTTGACCACCCTCCCTAACTCCTTTCCTCTTATCCAATAGCTGCCTTTCTACTTTCTTGTCATTACCCCCCCCCCCCGAGTCTATATATTAGGGAAAACACATAACACTTAGTTCTAGGTCTGGCTTGTAATTTCCAGTTTCAGTCATTTTCCCACAAATGATTTTATTTTTATGGCTGAGTAATACTCCATTGTTTATATAAACCACAGTTTTAAATCCATTCATCCATTGACTGTTCTATATCATGACTGTTAATTGTATCACAGTAAACATGGGTATGCAAGTATATATGTAGTATACTGACTTTAATCCCTTCAGATATATACCAAGGAGTGGTATATCTATATCATGTGGTAGTTCCATTTTTAGAGGAACATCTGTGCTGATTTTCTTAGTGGCTAATCTATATTTCCACTAACAGTGTTTAAGAGTTTGTCTGTTAGAGTTTGTGTGTCTGTCATTTATTAGAGTTTGTCTTCTTATTTAATCTTGATGTTACTGCCATTCTGACTAAGTGAAATGGAATCTCAGTGTGGTTATGATTTGTGTTTCCCTAATAGTTAGTGTTGTGGACACTTTTTCATATAATTATTGATCTGTTGTATTCTTTTGAAAGGGTCCAGTTTATTTGCCCAGTTTTGCTCGGGTTATTTTTCTTTTGGTGTTAAATTTTTCGAGCTCATTTTATTCATCTGCGGGGAAAGTAGCTAACAAAGATAATCTCCGATTCTGTAGGCTGTCTCGTCACTCTTGTTATTTCCTTTACTGTGGAGGTTTTAATTTGATGGAACCCCATTTGTCAGTTCTTGCTACTTCCTGAGTTTTTGAAGTCCTCTTGCAGAACTGCCCATCCCTATATCTTGATGTGTTTTTCCTATGTCTTCTAGCAGTTTCAGAGTTTCAGATCTTATGTTTAGGTCTTTGATCCATGCTGAGTTGATTGGGGGCTGTTGAGACTGAGTCTTGCTATGTAGTTCAGGCTGGTCTTAAGTTCATTGTGTAGCCCAGGCTGCCCCTGAACTCCTGCCCTTGCCTCTGCCCCTCCTGAGTGCTGGGATTAAGGCATGTGCCACCACGATCGACTTGAGTTGACCTCTTTTTTTCAGTAGTAAATTCTTTTCAGGGTAAGAAATAAGAGTTCAACATTTAATACCAAGTTTCCCCGGCACCATTTGTTAAAGAGGCTCCAACATGTGTTTTAACCCTCATGTCAGGCTTCAAATGGCTTAGTTACATGAGTCTTTGCTCAGTTTAAAACTAGGTTATTTATCTTTTAATTACTTATAGGACTTCTTTGTATAGTCTGGATGTTAACTTGAAAATATTTGCTTCCATTTTCATTCTTCCTGCTAGGTATAAGATTTAATTTTATACACAAATTTAAAATTTGATTTAGTCTAATTTAACATTTCTTTTTCTCTTAGCTTCACATTTTAAAAATAATTTACCAATCTAATGTCATGAATATTTCTTTTATATTGTTCTGTAAGTTTTATAAATTTATATCTTACCTTTGGATCTTTGATCTATTTCAAATTAATTTTTATCTGTGATGTAAGGTAAGTGTGTAACTTCTAGGTTAGGAATATAATTCAGTGGCATAGCCCCTGCCTGGCAAGTACAAGGTCCTGAGTTTGATTCTCAATATAAAAAAAGTGTAACTTCTTTCACGTAGATGTCCAATTTTCCCAGCATGATCTATGGAAGACTTCTCCTCCCTATTGAATTGCCTCACACCTTTGGTGAAGTCAGTTTTTCTTTTGAATACCACATTTCTTTCTTCTTTTGCAGTACATAAACAGAGGAAAATTGCCGTGGTTCAACCAGAAAAACAGTAAGTAGTATAGAGGATATCTGAATCCTTGAAACTGAAAGTTAGACTATATAGAAGAAGACATAAGTATATCAGAGTATATCTTGTGTTATTCTTTCTTGTGGAAGTATTATCTTTTAATCTAAATTTGATAGTTTATGTACTTCTCATAATGTATTCACTTCATGGCATTATTAACTAGGCGTGGTGGCACATGCATATAATCTCAGCATTCGAGAGGCTGAGGCAGGAGGATCACTGTGAGTTCAAGACCAACCTGGGTTACAGTGTGAGCTCAAGGCCAGCCTGAGCTGCATAGTGAGACCCTTCCCAAAAGACAATAAAAATAAAGTAAAATAAATAATGTAAAATGGCATTATATAAAAGGGTAAACTGCATTCTCAAAATATCTTCCAAAGTGAGTTTCTTTGGCTTTTAGAGCCCAAGGTCATGAATAAAAGAAAAAAAATTAAGACCACCCTTGCTGGTATTTGTGAAAGAAGAATAAAAATTATAATCAAAGAGATGATTTGTTACACTGTCTTGAGGTAGAAGAAACAACTCCAAAAGAAGAGACACTCAAGTGAGTGTCTTTGTGTACATTAGGAAACATTTTGTAGCATGCTCACACACTTTTTAAAAACCAGAAGTTAATTGGTGGTCCCTTTAAGTCTTAAACATACAAAGGTTTCTGTGTGTGTGTGTGTGTGTGTGTGTGTGTGTGTGTGTGTGTGTGTGTATACATTAGGTTTTAAATTCTAAATGTTATTTTATTTTTGGGAGGGCAGCTCAGCCCACCCTGAGGGCTGGGCTGGCACAGCATGTGGTGCTGGGAATTGAGTCACGGTCCTGTGTGCCTGCCTAAGCTTGCCAAAGCAGGGCTTTACACTGCTGAACTATCTTGCCAGCCCAAGTTTTAAGTTCTGTTAGTCTGCTATAACAAAATATTGCAGACTGGGTGGCTAAGACCACAGAAATTTATTTTCTCATATTCTAAGGGCTTGAAATCCCAGGAGCAAGGTGTGTCCTGGTTTGGTTTCTGATGAGGGCCCTAGCTTGTTTGTGGCTACCTTCTGGCTAAGTCCTCACATGTTAAAGTATCTTTTTGTCCCTCCCTCCCTCATTTCTCTCTTCCTCTCTCCTTCCCACTCCCTTTCCCCCATTTCCCTCCCTTCCTTACCTCCTCTTTCTCTTCTCTTCCCACATTCTATCTTTCTTTCCCACTTTTTTCTTTCTCTGTTCTCTCTCTCTTGCTCTCTCACTCTCATTTTCTTTTTCTTTTTCTTTTTCTTTTCTTGCAGAACCAGGGATTAAACTCAGGCCCTCGTGCTTGCCAAGGAAGCGCTTGTTCTACTGAGCCATCTCCCCAGCTCCTTGTTCTTCTCTTTTTTTTTTTTTTTTTTTTTCATCCTCCCTCCTCTTACAAGGCCACCAGGCCTATCAGATTATGGCCCTGGGGCTGGTGAGATGGCTCAGTGGTCTAAAGCACCTACTTAGAACAAGCTTAGCAAAGCACAGGGACCGCGGTTCAATCCCCCAGCACCACATGCCAGCCAGCCCCGCCCCCTGGTGGGCTGAGCTGGCCACACACACACACAAATAAATAAATTTTTTTAAAAATTATGGCCCTATTGTTATGACCTCATTTAATTTAGGTTATCTCTCAATATGGTTACATTTATTGGATGTAACCACGGAGTTTTATTGTGAATATAGAAGTGAGATGATGACAAAAAAACTGGCCTTGGATTTTTCTTTGACTTTCTTGAGGCCTATCCAAAGCTTTAGTCAGGGAGCAGTTTTAAAAATGGGTTAGCCCTTTTTAGGAATCGCTGCATGCAGAATAAGTCTCTTGGATTTTCTTTTAAAAGATAATTTTAAAACAAATTTGAAATGAGTAAAAGATTATATATATGAAATGTCTCTGTTATATGACTGTTGAAAAAATAATAATTTATTTGTACTTTAAAAATTCCACAAGAATCTGGGCCTATTGTTGGAGGCCTGTATTTCTAGCACTCAGGAGACTGAGGTGGAAGAGTCAGAAATCTGAGGCAAGCCCAGGCTACCTAGCAAGACCCTTTCTCAAAAGAAAAAAAATTAAGAATGCCATAAGAAATTTTCTAGTTTCTTATATACATATTGAGCAGAAAATTCATCTGAACCATAGACTATCACATCTCTGTCTATAGAGCATTCATTGGCCTACAAGACTCTGTGCATAGCTTTAGAAGTGATTGCAAATGTAAAATGAAGTGTGATAAAGGACCTTCTATTGCAGATTTTGTAGCCAGCCACAGTAGCTTTCTTCTTAGACTTGGAGGAAATTAACCCTCATGCTGTGCTGATCGTAAGGGTGATCTGACTATTTTGGCTGTGTTTTCTTAACCCAGAATACCATCCTCAAGGACTGTTCACGAGGGCCTAAAGAGTCAAGAGCTGAACTCTGCAGATTCAGGTATAAACATTTGTGATCTTACAGAAAAGACGAGCCTTAGTTTCTTACAATGGGCTTTACTTGTCATTTGATTTATAAAATACAGAGAAGAGTTGCCTAATTGTGTGCCTTAGGGTTAGTCCAAGATGTGCTTTGTTTTGTAATCGTCTGTATGCTGACATTTCTGCCTGGTTGTAATTGTAGCCATTCTTTACTGATCGTTTGTTGTGTACTAAGAGCTGTAGAGATCAGTGTTACCATCACCTACTTTATTTATTTATTGTGTTTTTTCCTTTATGTTCCTTTAATTTGTATTTCTTATCAATCAAATTCAAAGGAGTTTTAATTGAACATCCATTAATATAGATTACATACTGCTTCTTACATGGACAAAACATGGAAAATTGACTTAGAAATGTATATGATGATGTTTTCATTGTAAATTAAACTAAAAGTAATTTTTCTAAGGAGCCCGAGGCTTTCCAGGGAGTGTGCTCTTGTGCTCTCTCTTAAGCTAGGTGCTTAAGTGACACAGGCTTATTCTATATATATATACTTTATATACTTTATATCTAAATTTCACAGTTAAAAAATAAAACACTGGATTTGATTGTCCCAGAGGCAACGACTGATAAGTGAGATGAGGATGGAGGTTCAGATTTTGTCCAGGGTGTCTTCATACAGCTCTACTGGCCCTGTGCTATCTCTACAATGCTGAGCACTTGGGCCTTGTGTGTTCTAGCACAGATTGGACATTCTAAATACAATTGGACATTGGTATTTAGTAAATACCTAGAAAAGAAACTAGGACTTAGAGAGTTTGTACAACTTTTGAGAGACAGGTGAGAAATGGAACTCAAATGTTCAAAACTTTTGTCTCTTCTACCCATCTACCATTTCACTGTATTGTTTTTGCATAGCAGATCAGAACTATGTTAATTCCTTATTTTTGATGCACTGCTGGCCTACTGAAACTATAGAATTAAGATCTCTATGATCTTATCCTTGGCATTTTGGTTTAGATTTTGTCATAGGTCAGGTTCCTTGGGAAGTAGTCTTAGCCTCTGATATTTGCATGCTAGAGTTTCACTGGGAGTGCTTTTGGAAACAGCTCTGGAAGGAATCAAAAATGCAGGAAAAGGAAGCTGGACTATACCAAGAGAAAAACTGAAGTGCAATGCAGTCAGAACAGAAGTTACTTTTAGTCCCAAGGGAGTCTTTGAGCTGATACGATCACAGAGCATGTCCATAATACAGGCCTGGTTGCCACACCTTATGTATTAGTTATTAGAAGTAGGCTATAGCTCCACCTTACCTCACAGAAATTGGGACTTTGGGCAAGGTATCTTTCCTATTGAGGACAGCCCTAACTTAAGGCAATTAAAGGAAATACAGAGCAGTATAAACTTCCAATCTTCCCAATAGCCAAGGCCATGAGTGCTTTAATCCTGAGTGGGGGATGTGGGTGGTAAAAGTTTGAGCCTAGACTGGACAATTTAACAAGACTTTGTCTCAAAAATAAATAAATAAAAAGAAGGACTGGGGATAACTTAGTGTGAAAGCTGAGGTTCAGTCTCTAGCAACATATATAAAGAAAGGTGTGGAGGTGGAATGAGGAGGGTCAATGTATGTGTTTGGTGGATTTTAGGAGATAAATTGTAGTTCTGAATAACATTCCATGTTAATCCCTACAAATAATACATAAGAGATTATTGAGTAGTCATTTTGCAAAGAACTGGAAATCTTTTATTGTCAAGATCATCATGGTTCATGAAATGAATTCCCTACTTTATTAATAGAAGTATCAGACCGACTCTGAAACAATGTCACATCAATCCAGGAAATAATTAGCATGTAGTTCAAGACATTTGTTTTATTTTAGCACAGTGATCAATTCTGTGATCCAGGGTAAGGTAAGCATAAAGTAGGCATACAGTATTTCAAGATCATCCTCAAATAATGTGTTAATCTTCAAATATGTAATTCTGGGCCTGGGAGTACAGATCAGTAGTAGAACACTGCCTGGCATGCACCAGCCTCTGGTTTCAATCTCTAGTTCCACACACAAAAAAGTAATTTTTTTTTTTTTTTTTTTTGTGGAACTGGGCATTGAACTCAGGCCCTTGCACTTGCCAGGCTTATTCTACTGAGCCATTACAAAAAAGTAATTTATAAAACTCACTTGATATGTATGCTTGAAGTTTTCACCCTAGTAGTCCAACATTCTAAGTATGGAGAAGAGAATAACTGTTTATGATATTTGTTTTTTTCTTAATTTCTCAGTTACAATTAATGGAAAATATTGCTGTCCAAAGATATATTTCAACCACCGTTGCTTCTCAGGGCCATATCTTAACAAAGGAAGAATTGCTGAGCTCCCTCAATGTGTAGGACCTGGGAACTGTGTTCTCGTCCTCAGAGAGGTAAGGTTCTGGCCTCAAGCAGAAGAACTTGGAAATTTGATCATAGCAGGCTCCTAGACTTACTCATATGGGGAGCCACATGCCATATATGTGACAACTTTTGACTTCATCAGGTCACTAACCTTTCTCATGTGTGGTAGTCCCTTATCTTTGAGGAATATGTTCTAAAACAGTGGTGGTAAATCTATGCATAACACAGGTGCTTCAGTTGGCTGTTTGTTATCATTGAAAGCTGCAAAAGGTTCACTTTCACTATCCTTTTTTTTTTTTTTTTTTGTATTTTAGTACAGAGTCTACAGGGTCTCACTATGTCGATCAGACTCCTAGTGATCCACCTGTGTTCAGCCTCCCAAGAGCTGGGATTACAGAGGCGCACCACCACGCCCAGTCTCAATCACTATTCAGCATGTCCCAGGGGCAGGCCGGCATGGCAGGCCGGGGATTGGACCTGGGCCACTGTGTCTGATCTATTTAGCCAACCCTTATTGTTGTTTTTGGTATTGGAGATCAGGACCTTGTGCTTGCCAGTCAGGCACTTATGCTGCTGAGCTAACTCACTGGCACTATTCTAAGACTTTAATAATGTCTGAAAATGTGGGTAGTGCCAAAGTGCCAGAGAGGCACTGGGGTCCCATCATTCCTTCCAAGCATATGGCCCTAGTTAACCTCAGGATGACCCAGTAGGCTCGTCATCTCATCACCTCCGACGTCTACCATGCTAAAACCAAGCTTCCAATGCGTGAACTTTTGGGAGACACTTAAACCATACCAGCTGTGATCAAGTTTAATTTGCAAATGAGACACAGTAAGACATTAACAACAGTAATAAAACAACAATTATAACAACACAGTGTAATAAATGTTATATAAATATAATCTGTCTTTCAGAATGTCTTATTTTGTATTTGCCTTTCAGTTGTGATCATGTAAGATGATGCAGTTTATACAAATTGAGATGAGATCGTATGTCTCTGATGCAGCATTAGGCTGCTGTAAATGTTCCTTTTACAGAAGCACTACCATACTTACATATTTTATCTGATAACCCATACATCTGTAGACCAGCAGAGGAGTAGCATATACACCGTACACTGCACAAAGGGGTGATTCGCATCCGAGGCAGTGTGGCACAAGATTTCATCATGCTACTCTGCTCAGTGTGTAATTTAAAGTTTGTGAGTCATTTACTTCTTGAATTTTCCATTTACTGTTTTGACCATACATAACTGAAATGTAGTATGAAATCACAGATTACAGGGCCCTGCTGTACTGTGGAGTACATTGGGCAGGCAGTTATTCCTACTCCCTAGGTCCCATTTATGTAAGTAGTTCTTCACACAACCTCACTGTTAGATACATAGGAGAACTGTGTAAAGGTGAACTGTGAGTGAGGATGGTAGCACATGCCATAAATCCCAGCACTTAGGAGGCGGAGGCAGGAGGATCACTGTGAGTTTAAGCCCACATAATGAATTCAAGGCTAGCCTGCACTCCAAAGTGAGGCCCTGTCTCAAAAAGAGTAAACTTTGAGATTAATCTGCGATTTAGAGACTGCATGATATTAACTGAGATCCATGATAAAACTGTATGAATCTGCTGGACTTTCACGCTCCCAGCTAGTGTGCTGTACCATGGGGAACACTTGCAGAACCTTTTGGCCCTCAGGGTGGCAAGACAGGGCCTCATCAAGTCGGACTCCTTTAGCTACAAGAATGTTCAACTGTCTGCACAGTGTCAAAAACACATGGATGATGATTTTCGGTGTGCAGCATGGCTGGGAAAGCATTTGGAAGCAAGTGACAGAGTAAATTGAAATTTATGGCACTTCTTTTTTATTGACCATAATATTTTAAAGGTTGGTTATGCTTTATTTGCAACTATGGGTAACTGTCATATTTTTGGTAATACTGTTTTGTTGACATTTTTTAGTTAATAAGTAAGAATTTCCAAAATAGCCTTCCCATTATATGGGGTAAAGAAAATGCCATGGTTCTTTTTTTTTTTCCATAAAATCCACAAGGTTTTCTTAATTTTTTTTTAATTTTATTTTTTCTCTGTGAGGATAAAAACATTTAATGAGAAAAAAAATGTAGAAGAACACACATAAATGTCCCCTAAGGGTAACAGCAGATTTACATGCTTGGCCATTCATCAGTCCTCAGCCTCCATCATTTTTTTTAAAAAAAGATTTAAAATTTCTGAATTTAGTTCAACTTATAATACCGCATTTCCAAGAAAAATGAACCTTTTGCACAAGAAATTTAAATAAGATCATACCAAAATACACAAAAATGAAATTGTCCAAAACTTAAATATTCGCTATGGAAGAACAAAATTAAATAGCATCTTATTCCACATTAGAAAGAAAAAAAAAAGGACCAAGTGTCTAAGAAACTAGACTAATTAAAGGATTGAAAGAAAAGAACTGTCCTCTTTGAATTTTATACTTAGCAAACATACCTTTGAAAACTAAAAGTAAGATTTTCTAGTTATACAAACTTGAAATATTTTGATACCTCCAGACGTAGCATATAGGAAATAACAAAGAGCGTAATTCAAAAGAATGCCGTGGTTCTAATGGGCTGCTTTTGTGTTTGCATCAAAACTGAGTTTAGGTCCTCACTTTACTTATCAATGCGGCCTATAAGCCCAGCCGTGTTCTTCGGGAGCTCCAGCTGGACAAAGACTCCGTGTGGCATGGCTGTGGGGAAGTACTGAAAGCCAAGTGAGTAGATTCCTCTGCCATCTACTATTGTTTGTCTTTACTCAGTTGCATAATCACTTCTCTGGATAATAGAAAGCTTGTTCCCTGTGGCAGTGCTGCGTCAATGATTTGTGGCAAAGGAGTTAGGCTTGTTTTCTTTTTTAGTTTCCACTCTGTCCTGGGTCAATAAGTTTATAACATATGGTAAAAATGAATTATAAGGAAGACAAATTTAAAAGACAGAAATGAAAGAACATTTTTTATTAGATTCAAGAGACATAAAACTACTTTTCAAATTCTTATGAGAGTTTATAAACATTTACTTTTATTATCTGACCTGATTGTTTTCGTGGATGGAATGGATGGTATTTGGCAAATCATACTGTATCCTTGGGCCACACCATGAGAATCGCTGCCCAGGGTAAATAAAGACTTAATGAAAAATTCCTATTCTTTTTATGATAAGTAAAGTTACTAGTTGAAAACCGTCACCTAAGAATAGAAAACTAGAAACTTTACCAATTTAAGTAATAGCTTTTTGTTGTCATTGTTTATCAAATTTAAGTATGATACAGAATATTCTTATTGTTCTCAGAGTCAACAAACTCTGAACATAAGAGTATTTTAAGAAGCAAAAATATTTTTCAGGTTTATTAATATACTTGATTTTTCTCTGAGTAGTCACTTGCCCAATAAATTTGGCATCCAATGTCTTCCAATGGCAGATATAAAGGAAAGAGTTATCGGGCTACTGTTGAAATAGTGAAAACAGCAGATCGGGTGACTGAATTCTGCCGGCAGACCTGTATCAAACTGGAATGCTGTCCTAACCTGTTTGGTCCACGGATGGTTCTGGATACATGTTCTGAGAACTGCTCTGTACTTACAAAGACCAAATACAGTGAGTTTTGTTTTTTAAGTGTGTTAACTATAGAATCTTATACCTTATATCCTGAAAAAATATTTTTATTTTGCACACATTCAGATATAGCAGAAATACACCAACTTTCTATAAAAGGTTAGATAATAAATATGCTGCCAGTCCTATGATCTCTGTCACATGTTCTTTTTTGTTTTGTTGTAAACTCTTTAAAATGAAGAAACATTTTTAGCTATAGGACCATACTAAAAAATAGCCCATGGGCTAGATTTGGCTTATGGGTCCTCGTTTGCCAACTTTTATGACATGTGTATAAGTTAGCTGGTGCATCTAAGAGGTATATAGTTTATTCATACAGTCTGTTGTTTTATGTTCCTACTGTGTGCTGCCACTGTTGGCAGCCACAAGATACACAATAAAATCCCTGTCCTCCCTGAGTTCTTACTTAATGTGGGACAGAAATAATAAGCAAATGTAGAGACAAATCTAAGGTGGGGGATGGAGCAACATTAGGAGACAAAAAGAGATGAGAAGGCTGGGAACAGTGGCCAGGGAAGGCTTCTGAGTGGGAGCTACCTTGAATGAAATAAGGTGGGTTGTTGTGCCTGTGAGTTGAAGAGGGCCATGAGCTGTAGGCTTTGCATGAGCTTGCTCAGGGTCTGTGAAGGGCAGTAAAGAAGTCCTAGTGGTTGGGACGGTGTAAATAGCCAGAGAAGAGATAAGTACAGTCTCACTTGGAACTGTTGTCTCTTATTTGTCTTCTCCTTTGTGAAACTGGGGCATGAGTCACGTGGGATGAAATTCAAGTGTGGATTCTCATCAGGGTGTTGTCGCGCCCAAACAAAATTCTTATCCTATGTCCTTAAGTTCTGTAAACCCTGGTGTCACTTAGGAAAACTAACAGGGTAAAGGATTTTACTGTGTCAGATTTGAAAGATTCCTTTAAAAGATTTGTGACTTAAATTTTATAGTTCTTGCAGATCATTTCAGCGCCTTGTTTCAATGTGCATTCGTATCTCTCAGGTCTGTCTGTGGGTGTCTGGGACTATTTCTAACCAATTCCTCAATACAGCTGATGATGCCAATCCACATTTTGCAAGGCACGCTTTCTAATCAGAATGTGAATTCTAAACGCATGTAAAAGTCTAACCTCCTAGCAGTTTCTATTTGTATTTAGTGTATTTATTGTAAACTCCTTAAGGGCAGAGATTATTTTGGCTTATTATTATCAACTATTTGTTTAGGAAACTACAACTATTAGGAGCTAAGTAGAAAACACTATTCATGTAAATATATGAATATTATAGTAATAATAGAAAGACACTGGGAAGGTTTATAGACTTTATTATACTTTTTAAATATTTATTTCTGAACTTATCTTTCACAATGATAAATTGAAATTGCCCTAGGTTTTAAAAAAATCTAATTTTTTCTGATTAGTAATTTTGTGGTCTCCAATGAATTTGTATTCTTAGGAATTCCATTTGCAGAAATTTACATCAGAATTTGATATTACCTTAATATATAACCCAGAACTAGAATGTATTTCATTTTTGAATTATCTGTGTATTCTAAAATTTACATAAAAATGCAAAGAATCTAGAATGCTTAAAATATTCTTGGAAAAGAATAAAGTTGAAGGACTTTTGTTCTCTGCTCCCTGCTGCCTTCTTTTTTTTTTAATCATGAAGCTATAATAATCAAAAGAATTTAGTATTAATGTGTTCCCACTGGCTTGAACCACTGGTGGTGGTACGTGGTGGTTTGTGCCTGACTGTCCCATCAGGCAGCTTGTATAACCTGATGGGACAGTCACACGTATACCACTAGTTTCTTCCAGCTGCCCAGCAGCCAAACATACAAATTATGGCCTCTTGTGAATATGTTAGAGTAGTAAAAGCATTGGGACAAAGTAGAAGGTCCAGAATTAGATCCAAATTATTAGTAAGTGAATGTCTTAGTTACTTTTCCCATTGCTGAGACAAAATGCTCAATATCCAAAGTTAAGGGGGGAGAGGTTTATTTCATCTCCAAGTTTGTAGAGGCTTCTGCCCATGGTCAGCTCACTCCAGGGCAGGGTGGCATGGCAGAAGGACATCACAGAGGAGAAATAGTCAATGCAAGTAGGCAGGAAACAAAGAAGCAAGTGACAGCAAAGCAGCAGACAGCAGCAGCAAGTCTGCCTCTCCTTTTTATCTTATGCAGGCTACCAGCCTTTTGGTGGTGCCAGCCACACCCCAGGTGGGCCTTCCTTTATCTACCTCCTTAATTCCATAGTCCCACATTTAATCCCAGTATCACCCTAATCTAGCCACTTTAGAAACTTCCTATACATAACCGCATAAGGCTTTGTGGGGGGATATCTGGATACAAACCATAACATTGAATTAACATGAAAATTTAAAACTTCTTCCCTTTGAATAATAATACCAATTTTTAAAAAGAAAGACATAAGCCATAGTATTTGGAGAAATTATTCTTAATTTATAATCCAGTAAAGACTTTATAATATATTAAGAACTTCCCCCAACTCAATAATAAAAAGGGAAGTTTTAAGATGTGACAGAGATAATGGTTTTACACCATTTTGAATATGCTAAATATCTCTAAATTGTACATTTTAATATGGTTGATTGTATGCTATATGAGTTTCACCTAAATTAAAATAAAAAATAAGCAAAATGTTTTAGAATTAGTGTCATGGTTATAAAGCATAATTCACATACAAAAACCACTCAATTGTACACTTTAAACTGGTAAGCTTTATGTTATGTAAACTATGTTTCAATAAATTTTTTTTTTAAAGTACTGGAGTTCTAGTTCAGTGTTAGGTAGGAAGTTTGTCTAGCCCTATCTCAAACCCTAGCACAAGGAGAGACTGGGTTTTATCCCTAGCATCACAAAAAATAAAGAGAAAACAGTTTTAAATAATGAATAAAGGACCAGTAAGCACATGAAAATGTACAGAATCATTGATGATTGGGGGAATATAAAACTGCAGTAGATTTGCAGTAACATGGATGGAACTGGATAATGCTGGGATAAGTAAAGTCAGTCAGACATAGAAAGATGAGTACTACCTATTCTCACATGTAGAAGGTAAAGTTGAGCTTATAAACATAGAAAATAGAACAGTGATTATCAGAGTCTGGGAGGGTATGGGGGAGGGTGAGTGGAGAAAGGATTGTTAATGGGTACAGAAGTACAATTGGATAGGAGCAATTACTTCTAATGTTTTATATCACAGTAGTATAACTATTCATTGTATATTTCAAAATAGATACTAGAGAGGATTTGGAATATTCTCAACAAAAAAGAAATGGTAAGTGTTTGAGATGACAGTTTGAGTTGAATATAGACTTTTACCTGTATCTGATCATTACACATTGTATACATGTATTGGAATGTCACATTGAACACTATAAACATGTATAATTTTTATGTGCCAATTAACAGTAAAAATGTATTTTTAAAAAACTGGACAATAGCAACACAGTGAAAAATTACCACATCCATATACTAGACTGATTAAAATTAAAGAGACCAACATTACTAATAGTGGTTGGCACAGGTGTGGAACAACATAGATCTCATATATTGCGGGTGGGAGTATAAAATTACACATCCATTTTAGAAAGTTGGAAATTTCTTTAAAAGTTAATCATAGCCAGGCTTAGTGGTGCATGCGTGTAATCCCAGCACTGAGAAAGTTAAGACAAGAGGATCACTGCAAGTTCGAGGCCAGCCTGGGCTACAAAGTGAGTTCAAGGCTAGTCTGAACTACGTAGTGAAACCGTATCTCAAAAAGAAAAAAAAAAAAGTTAATCATACATCAACTCTATCATCTAGCAGTTCCATTATTAAGCACTTCTGCAAGACAGTGAAAACATACCCATTAAAAGTTTTAAATAAGAATATTCATTATAATTAAGTTAATATTAAAAATGAAATGATCTCAGTGCCTAACAGGAAAATAAATAAACTGGTATGTTCATATGATGGAATGCTAGTTGCTAACATAAAGGAATGAATTGCTTATATACCCAGCAGTATCGATGACTCAAAAACATGTTGTGTGAAAAAAGCCATTCACAAGAAAAAGTACCTACTGGATGACCCATAAATGGAAAATTAATCTACAGTGATGGAAATTTAGGATAGTGGTTGCTCTGGAAAGGAGCCCTAAGATCTCTTCTCTATTGATGGAGATGGAGATCCATTGGGGGAGGCTTATTCAGGTTTATGTATTGTCAGTACTAATCAAATTGTACACTTTTCTACTTATTCTACCATGTATGCCATTTAAACATCAAATACAGTATTCCTGTTGTTGTTGTTGTTGGGTTTTTTTGCTAGTAGAATTTCTTGCAGTTTTAAAGTACACAATAATGAAACTACTTCATTTATCTTTGTCATCCACATTTAGCACACTATTATGGAAAGAAGAAAAATAAAAGAATTGGGAGGCCACCTGGTGGGCATAGTAACTTAGCTTGTGCCCTGAAAAAAGCCAATAAGAGAAGAAAGAGGCGGAAAAATGTTTTTGTTCATAAGAAAAAACGCTCCTCTGCATCTGTTGACAATACTCCAGTGGGCTCACCTCAGGTATGAGATCTGTGATGCGTCTGTCATGTCTAGAAGCCAAGTGACCACTATTTTACAGTAAGGCACAGGAAGTATACCTGCAAGTCTCTCTGATTTAGTTCTCTGGCCAGTAGAAGATGGTTTTACAGCCCAGTAACTGATTTGTCCTGAACTTCGATGCCACTTACCTCCTTTTCCTCCAGGGAAGTGGGGCTGAAGAGGAAGATGATGTAGATGAAGGGGATGAAGATTCCCTCAGTGAAGGTAGCACCTCTGAGCAGCAGGATGAGCTACAGGAAGAGTCAGAAACATCAGAGAAAAAGTCATGCTCCTCCTCTCCTACCCAAAGTGAGATGTCCACCTCACTGCTCCCAGACAAACAGAGGAGAAAAAGAGAGCTGCGCACCTTGTCATTTTCTGATGATGAAAATAAACCTCCTTCACCAAAGGTACCATTTTTAAAAGTGTCTTGTCTCTCGTCCTCACTCCCTGTTATTTCCCTTTACAACCTAATGATGCTGGTATTCCATTTCTTTCAATATAAGCTTATGAAGAATTTCTAGGATTTCTCTTTAAAAAGATTCCAAAGGTAGTTAGGATATTGCTAGTTTTTGTTGTTTTTTTGGTTTGTTTTTGTTTTAATTTACTTACTTGTTTTGCAGTACTGGGGATTGAACTCAGAACCTTGCGCTTGCCAGGCAGGCGCTTATTCTAGTGAGCTAGTTCCCCAGCCCTGCTAGTTTATTTGTAGTCTGTCGTTTATTTTACAGAAAATATTTTTTCTTCTTGTCCTTTTTACTTTTTATTTTTTTAGTTTATTTTAAAGAGCATATAACAATAATTGATAAGATATTAGAAATGGTACACATTTAGATGAACAAGATGAGAGGTATTAAACTGGTTTTTGTATTGCACATTGCTGTCTTCAATCTAGGTGCTCAGATTACAGATATTAGCATATTCAGTTAGTCATAGTGAAAATCTTAAATGTTAAATACTATTTTTCTGAAAATGTTTTTGTAATATGTATGGTTTTATAAAACTTGTCCCTTTGCTTCTGGTTAAGTATCATGTTCAAAATATACACAAATACATTATATAAATAGACACACTCAAGGTTACAACTAAATTATTTCAAAACTGGGTTGCTTTTTAAAAATGTACTATGAGCAGGAGCAATAAAAGTTTTTTTTCACAGTAATTTGATTAGGTATTCTCCGTGGGACCATTCCATTCACTGTAGCACACTGCTACCAGAGGTGCAGCTGAAATATATAAGGAACAACTAGGAGACTTATCATTCTTGGGCTGGTGAGAGCTCAACGGGCTAAAGCACCCGTTTAGGAAAGCTTAGGCAAGCACAGGGATCCCTGCACCACTCGGGGCAGGCTGCGCTGGCCAGAGTCCAGGTATAGTGGTGCAAGCCTGCAAGCCTAGCGCTGCAGAGGCTGAAAGCAGGAGGATCACCACAGGTCCAAGCTACTTAGTGTGACCCTGCCACAACCAGATATATTAAAAATAAATAAATAAGTAAAATAAAAATAAAAGTTCTCTTTCTTGCTGGCATGGTGGCACATGCATGTAATCCTAGCACTCAGGAGGCTGAGGCAGGAGGATCACCAAAAGTTTAAGACCAGAATGGGCTACATGTGAGTTCAAGGCCAAATTGAACTGCATAGTGAGACCCTGTCTCAAACAAAAAATGAAAAAGATGTTTTTCTCTATTAAATTGTCTAAATTATTTGTACTGAAACTTTATGAGAACTCTTTCTTCGGTTTTGGGTTGTTTTTTTTTGTTGGGGTTTTTTTTTTTTTTTTTTTTTTTACTGCCTCAATTTTATTGCTTGTTATTGGATTGTTCAGGGTTTTATATCTTCTTGGTTTAGCTTTGTATTTTAGGGAAGAGTCTACAGGGTGTTCAGGGTCTCACTACTAGATCAGACTTGTAGTGATTCTCCTATTTATAGCCTCCAAGTGCTGGGATTACAGGTGCGTACCACCACGCCCAGTCCCCTCAGTGGTATTTTGAGTTGTTAAAAGTCAGTTGAAAATAAAATTTGTCCAACCAGGTGCGATGGCACATGCCAGTAAACTTAGCACTCGGGAAGCTGAAGGAGAGCGGCTCACTGTGAGTTTGAGGCCAGCCTGGGCTACACAGAGTTCAAGTCCAGCCTGGACTACATAGTGAGACTTTGTCTCAAAAAATAAATAAAATTTGTATTATAATTTTTCTCAAATATTATACTAATGTGTGTGGGCCTTTAACATCTTTCCTGGGAGAAATCATATCCTAAGTTCAGTTTAAATACTATCTTGTAGGATTATAAATTTAGAGGTTTTTTTTTTTTAGAAAGAATGCAGTATCGGGCTGGAGAGATGGCTCAGTGGTCTAAAGCACCTCTTAGAACAAGCTTGGCAGAGCATCAGGGACCGCGGTTCAATCCCCCAGCACCACATGCCAGCCAGCCCCGCCCCCTGGTGGGCTGAGCTGGCCACACACACACACACCACACACACTCTCTCTCTCTCTCTCTCTCTCTCTCTCTCTCTCAAATAAATAAAAAAAAAATTAAAAAAAAATTAAAAAAAAAAAAAAAAATTTTAACTTTAAAAAAAAAAAAAAAAAAGAATGCAGTATCTCTTACATCATTTGGTTTGGTTTTTTTGGGAATGAAGGAAATAAGGATTGAGGTTGCTGAAAGGCTTCATCTGGACAGTAACCCCCTGAAGTGGAGTGTGGCAGATGTTGTGCGGTTCATCAGATCTACTGACTGTGCTCCGCTAGCAAGAATATTCCTAGACCAGGTAATTGCAGATACCTGTAATCTAAAATAATAATGTCTTTTTAGCAAAGAGCTGTGTGTGTAATAGTCCACCATTTATTTACAACTTGCAGGAAAAATATTTTAATCCAAATGAACATTGGTTTAGGTCCTTTTTTAGAAGAGGAAAGTGATTTAAAAAATATTTATTAGACTTCATAGTTGAAACAGGTTATCATTGCATTCCCATTTTTTTCCAATAACTTGATTCTGTGCCCCAAAGTTTAGATAGTTCAAAAATCAAGCATGCTTTGCTTAACTATCCTCATCTTTTTGAAAATAATTTGCTTATTTTTACAAAACATTAGCATTTGTCATAAATCAGACTCTAAAGTGGTAACCAATTTTAAGGCAAATTAGGTGTGGTGATGCACACCTATAATCCCAGCGACTGGGAACCTGAGGCAAGAATATTTCTGTGAGTTCAAGTCCAGCCTGAACTGCATAGTGAAAACCTGTCTCAAAATGACAAAAAAAAAAAAAAAAATGAGGCAGGCTTGCTGAAATACAAACAGTAGTGGGTGGGGATTGCAGATCAGTGATGCGATGCCTGCCTTGCACGCACCGGGTTCTGGGTTTGATCTTCAGCACTGGGAAGAACAAAGTCAGTAGCCCTAAATAAATATTAAAGTTTGTTTGGTAATTGGGACAAGTTCAAATTGACCCTCATTGAAGATCTTAACTGGCTTTTTGTGAGTGTTATAAATAAAGCACTAAAGTTTATAGTTACTATTCTGTTTCAGACTTGCAAAGACCCTTCCGAAGATTTGGCCCACTTCCTCACTGAATTTTGCTGAGCAGAGGTTCTGAAGACTAGAATGTTGTTTTTTTTTTTTTTAATCCCTCCGGTACTGGGGATCAAACTCAGGACCCTGTGCTTGCCAGGCAGGCGCTTATTCTACTGAGCTATCTCCCCAGTCCTAGATTGTCATCTTATAAAAATTTATTATGAGCTCTAGAGGTTTGTTAGGGTGCAGGATTGCAGAGCCATCAAAAAGAAAATGTCTGACATTTATTTAAAGGGAAAAGGAAAGACTTTGGGACTGTGGGCCCTCAAGGACAGGGCCTTTGGTTTTGACAGACAAATGAATGGAGACAGTGGTGATCAAGTTGCCAGTCGTGTGCATGCCATACATAATTTGCATTTATCCCTTAACAGGAAATCGATGGTCAGGCCCTGTTGCTCCTTACCCTTCCCACCGTTCAAGAGTGCATGGACTTAAAATTGGGCCCTGCCATCAAGCTTTGCCATCACATAGAAAGGATCAAGTTTGCTTTCTATGAGCAGTTTGCCAACTGAGAAGGACAACCAAAGTGAGCTGGACCTTTGAAGCACAAATGCAGCAAATCCCTCACCCTGTTCTATAGGTGGAGCTGTATAGTCCTGGGGCTGTGGACCCTGTAGGTGTCGGCTTGCTCTCTTTGCACTTTCAGGGAAGGAGGACCCACACTGAGGAAGCAAAAATGGCACAAAGTGGCTCTCCTACCAGTGGAAATGTGGACAGCTCATACTCAGCAGGTTGCAGTTTTTAAAAAATAAAGGCTGTGAAGAAAAAGTCAAGAGAAAAATAAGCATTTCCAGTGGTGTGGACTGAAAACAAAGAGTAATCTAGGTGACTGGATAGCACCTTTTTAGTTTTCTTTTCATCCTGTTTCTTCCTACTGTAGACTGAACTTTGTTCTCTGCTTTCTTTTCTTTTCTTTTTTCTTTTTCTTTTTTTCTTTTTTTTTTTTTGTTGAAAGAGAGGACATAGCTTTGATAGCTTTAATTCAGCACTGATTTGCACCTGTGCCTAAGGCACATCAGTGCTTCTTGTTATTGTGTTTTTAAGTGTTTTAATTTTAAAATTAAAACAGTTCATTTTGGGGATAATTGTGTGGCTCCAAGGTTTTGAATGTATAGTCATACTTTGATCCATTTTAAAATCTGTTCTTAAGAGTTCCTTTGTTTACTACCTCTGTTGATAATTGAGCTTATGGCCATGAATTAGGTTTTTTGTATGATGCCATCTTTAAGCTAGTGAACACTTAAAACTATAACAGAAGTTGGAGGGGAAAAAAACACTGTTTTCTATCTACAGAACATTATGCAGGCACTTAAGCCAGTTCTTCAACAGACCTGACCTAAGAACTACTGTCATTGTTCTCCGTTGACTCAGCTCCCCTATCTATGTTAAGTAGCCTCGTGAAGATTGTTAGTATTTCAATTTGATTATTGTGCCCTTACTATTTCTCAGAGGACTTAAATAGCTTTTGTGTTTACTTTTCTCTAGAGTTGTCTGTCTACCTCTGTTTCATTTTTGAAGTCTTTACTTCTGGTGAAAATCAGTAGGTATTCTTTTGATCCAATATAAAGAAAGGCTCTGTTATCCTAGCACTCAAGAGGCTGAAGCAGGAGGATTGCCATGGATTCCAGGCCATCCTGGGCTAAATAGACAGATGCTGTTTTGAAAGAAACAAAGGAAAGAAAGAAAAATGAAAGAAAGGCCAGCAGAAAAGAAAGCACCCTCGTGCCTGGCCATTTCTCCTGCCTGTTAGGGGGTAACACGGAATGGAGCAATTTCCTCAGTAGCAGGACAAGATTGGGAAGTGATAAAGGAGTGTGGAAACCAAGCCCCTTGCCTGGCCACCTCTATGCTTTTCTTCAGTTAAACCTTTAAATTGAATATAGTCTAGAGTTTGAAGTTCCATTTGATAACTGTGTCTTTTTTGGTGTTTCTTTTAACTCAGCTCAAATTGACATGAAACTTCAGGCAAATTTTTACTTTTTATGATTTTATTGCCAGCTATTAGAAAATAATAGCACTTGTTAGTATTCTAGGCAAGAATGAAGACATGTACAAATTGCCTTCTTTATATGGTTTACTTTATTTATTTATTTATTTTTGCATTCTAGTCACCTGCAAATTTATAACCTAATCATTTCTTTTCAAGAATTAAAATGTTTTAAAACTGTAAACTTGGTAAATTCCAAACAACTATCCAAATATAAGGTAATGTTATTACAAATTTAAACTGCTGTTATTCTTTTCCTTTTCTTTCCTCAAACCTTGTTTTTATGGACATTGGCAGATAATCTGTAATCTGGATGCTTGCCTCACTGGGTAATTCGTAAACTGTAATTCATGACTCAAGCCCTCCAAATCAAATCATAAGGCATTAACTCTGCTTAGGTTAATATCAGATATCTGATAAGTTCAGAAGCTTTATTTGAGTAAAAGCATATTTGAACATATAGATCCAATTTTTAAAAATTCTATCGCTATGGAAGAAAAATAAGTGTGATGCTAGAGAGCAGTCAGCATCAAGCAGTGGAGTTGAGACAGTGATGTCTTGTTTAATAAAGTTTCCTGAGAGCTTAGCAAGTAAGGCACTGAGGCAAAAGAGGCTCCCTTGAGGAAGAGCAATGGACCACAAAACTTCTGCAATTAATGTTTAGGGTCTTACATTACTGTCTTGTTTAGGAAAATGACACATAAGGGGAGATTTGCCAAATGTAATGGTGTTGAATGTTATTTTGTCTCTCTTCCTGACTTCTTCAGAAACCAGCATTTAGAATCACTTCCCTTTATAGATGAGGTTGAAGTACATGGTGTCTAACTGGGACGGGGTCAGAGCATAACAAGCTGGTCTGTCTCTACCGTGCTTATTCAAGCAGTTTCCTTCTGGAGAAAGGCTGGCTTTAAACTGCACATGTGAGTGGGATTTCTCTTAATATTTCTGGTATTCATTTACTGGGACATAGTTTATTGGACAGTTGTATTATTTAAAAGCTATATTTACCCAGCCCCTTTTCCCAAATATTACATACTGAGAATAATTGGGAATTTGGCACAAGTCATTTTTTTTAAAGCACAAATTTTCAGTACTAGGGCTGGTGAGATAACTCCGCGAACTAAATGCCTGCTTAGGCAAGTGAAGGGACTAGGGTTCAATCCCTGGCACCACGTGTCGTGCTGGCCCCGCACCCGGGCACGCTGAGCCAGCCACTGAGACTGGGTGTGGTGGCACATGCCTATAATCCCAGCACTAGGGAGGCTAAAAACAGGATCACTATGAGTCTGAATTGCATAGTGAGACCCTGTACCAAATACATAAAAATAAACAAATTTTCAGTACTATTTACCTCATAGGCCTGCTGGGACTAGGAACAGTGATGGTTCATTTACTGTCATACAAAACATTTTAAACCTGGTAATAGCTTACTGTGTTGGAGTAAAATGCTTATGTGCTGTGTAAGTTCATATGTATATATATATTGTTTTTAGAGATCAGCTCTTTATGAGAGGTACATTGAAAGAATCTACATTTATCTGGATTTTACCTATAATTGGCTTCACAGATCTCCTGGTAATAGGTTTTTCATGATCCATTTTTACCCAGGATTAACAGGCTTAGAAACAGGTTAAGGGACTACATCATACTCCTAGACTTGAAAAGTTAGACAGTAGACTTTTACTGCTATGTTAGCATTCAAGGGAAACCTTTATTACACATGTAGATTTGCTCTGGGATTTTTACTATAGCTTGTGGGCTTCTGGAGACCATGTTATTTCCTTTGTGACCTCTTCATCCTTCTCATGTGAGCAGAATTTGAAATGGCTAATGCAAGGAATTGAGAAGGACTTTTAACCCCATCTTTAGTTTTTCTTTAGCAACACAGGTAGCTACTGGGACCTACAAAATAGATCCATAGGTCAAGGAAGGATATCTACCAGGCACTGGAAATGATGATATTGGTAAATACATACTGAATTATAATAGAGGACCACGAAGAAACAAGTTCATAATTTGACCTTTTTATGTCTTCTTTCCTGGAAGTGAAATCATTCTCACTGTGAGAGAAAGGGCATTGGATCAGAGTTTTTTGAGGACTTGAATACATTTTACTTGCTCTGTAGTATGAATTCAGTCACTAATGTAGTACCTGAATACAATTTGAATGCTCTAGGAGGCCGTAGTGGGGCAGCATTCAGAACTATTGCTTTTTTTCAAGACAACAACTCTTTTTAGGAGACACATAGAAAATCAGGTAATCTAGATGGGGACATTGTGAAAACCGTCACTGGCACATTTACTTGACACCTGTCACCAAAGACTTATTTGCTGGTTTGATCTATTACCATAGAAGCTCTGAAAGAGTTGTTAGCCTCAACAGTGAAGACAAAACTTGAGTTTTAACTCTGGTCACCTGTATTGGAGATGCTCTGTGTGTATGCATGCACATGATTTTGAAAGTGTAGGAGATATATTAGCATCATGGAGGAGGCATCACTAACACATATGAAGTATAAATCTTGGTACAGACCATATACTCCCTTTTTAAATTTCAGTGTCTTTGGTCCTGGGTCTGTAATAAGTAACCATGTGTCACAGGTATGCTGCTGGCTCAGAAATTGTTGGACAGAGAGCCACCTATAAAACTAAATAGAGGGCCAAGGAGGTAGCTCTGTGGCATAAGTGCCTGCCTGGCAAGAGCAAGGTCCTGAGTTCAATCCCTGGTACCAAACAAAACAAAACAAAAAACTAAAAAGAAACACTACTTTCCTCTCATAATCCCTCCTATACTTTATTCACTGTAAATGTTTTACTAGTGAATTTTGATGATTCCCTTGAATTAGAATGTGTATATTTTGGAAATGTGAACTGTGGACTTGGAGTTTTGGTGTAAGAGCTTTAAATTTGAAGCCCAGTCCAAATTGATCTGGTTTCAAGCCCACTTATTTGAGATGGTTGGTTCAGTACTTGTCCCAGACCACACTGGTGGCCTTGTTTCTAGGGGCAGCTTTTAGGGGTGAAGTGTGGAAGGTAGTGGGCATTACAGTGCAGTGCAGGTTTATTTTCCTGGATATCATGTTTGGTAAGTCAGATGTTCACAGGATCCAGCAAAACCAGGAGTGAAGAGTTGAGGGTACACAGAAGGAAACCTAACACTTCCCCCCTTTTGCTGACTGGCCTGTCCTGGTGCTGCGGCCTATCCCAAAGGACTGTAGAGAAAGGCTCTGGAAAGCCCAGAGCCTTGCTGGGCTGGCCATATCTCATCTCTACATCAGCAGTGAAGTGCAGACCTGAGCCCTAGGAGGCAAAGAATGAAATGGTGATATGGTGCCCTATTGCTGATGGGGATGGGTGTGCCGGTTCCCAGAATGTGTTGAAATTCAGGTCCAAGAGTTTCTTTACATCATTTGTTCACAAGCCTAGAGTGGCAGAATGGAGGCAGTGAAAGTGTTGAAAGGAAGATGGTAGGCTTTCAGGGCAAATCAAGTCGCAAAGCAGATGGCCAAGGGAGGTCGTAAAGCTCAGGCAGAGTTAAAGCTGGATAGTTCCTTAGCTCCTTCAGCAAGGATCTCTGAGGAAGGTAGTTTGAGTATTTCTTTTGAGATTTTAAGTGCTCATTTTTTTTTTCCTTTTCCTTCCTTTTTGGTTGAATATTCTCTAAAGACAATCAGAGGCCTGCCAGGGAAGGACTCCTGGCTGGTTCCAGCACTGTCCTTAGGCCTCTTTCTAATAGTAACTTGTTGGAACTGATGCACTTTGTTTAATGTATTTTGCCTTTCGTTCTTTATTTTTTTTTCCAAGCTGCTTGTTTGGAACAAAATGAAATGCTTATTACATTGTATCTTTCCTGCTTGCTGTTTTTTTCTCTTAGTTTCCAAGTTATGCATTGAAGATAAGATACCCTTAAGCAGAAATATGCACACGAATACCTATTAAAATAACTCCCATCATTTGATGGTATAACATCAAAGGATTAAAAACAAAACACACAAACTATTTTGGATGAGTATCTGTGTGTTTTCTTTATTTTTCACAAATAACTTTGTATAAACTTATAAATGTAATGTGACATTTAAGAGAACTTTTAACTTCATTTTGCAGATTTGACAGGAAGGCATTTTTGCCAGAGTATATTCTTCAAAACTCCAGGGGGGGCCTTAGAGAATCATTTCTGAATGGATGAGAAAATTCCTTTCTACTTTAATAAAATTAAAGAATTTCTTTCCCCTCCTGTCTCATCCTTTCCCCTCTGGATTCATATACTTTTTCCATTTCAGCTCAGGAAAGGTAGGAACAGCAGAATCCTCCACAGTGACCTTGCTCCTGACACTGGGGATTCTGCCCCTAAACTCTAAAGATGATTCCTGTTCTCCATGGGCCTTAAGGATTCCTCCACATCCGGATGTACAAACAGGGCCTTGTCTAGAACTTCATTTTTCAGCGCACTGTGCAATTTTCCTTGAGCTTTCTGTGTCTTCAAGCAATTCAGAGTCTCCTTATTCCTAATCACAGTCTCCTCTGCTCTAAGACGTGTCCTCTGCTTTGGTTCTCTCTGAATAAGTGCTGTTTGTTAACTGTTGAGCATCCTCGTAAGATCTCTCTTGGTCTTGAAAACAATTTTAATCTTCTCTTACCCATTTATTTTCTTAAACTGCTTTTCTGTATTTGCCAATGGTCAATATTTGTGGAGAGTTTTAAAATTTATAAATTAAACTTCAACTTAATTTAAAAAGCATTTTTGTTGTATGTTATCTCTGCCAGACATTGAGTTGGGTCCATGAATGAATAAAAACCAGTTTTTGTCTTCAGAAGGCTCACGCTCAGCTGTAGGAGGGAGAGACAGATGTATACAGATGTGTAACTTAGCACTCTGGATAGCTCCAGTAGACCACCACACCCAGGAAATGAGGAAGCACAGTGAAAAGGCGGCTCGGTGGGCCTTGAGGCATAAGCAGCAGCTGGCAGAGCAGAGCAAAGCTTCAATGCCATGTAAAGACACAGAGGTGCATTAAACTGGAGAACTGTGTTTGTTGTCTGGCTAAGCAGGTAAATATTCCTGTCAACTAAGAAACCATTTGGATACCATTTAATCCTCATATGATTAGAATTTCTTGAACCTATTTTATAGGGAAAAATTTCCCTAGATGTAGTATTTACTGTTCAACAAAGAAAGCCAGACTTGAGCTACTTGTACATTGACATACAGCAGGAAGGATAGGTGCTCAGGAACCAGAGGGGGCTATCCTCCCGGATGGAGTAAAAAAGAAACAGGTTCCAACGTGTCAGGTGGGAGGTAACACGTTCCCCAGGGCTTGAACCACCAGAGGGAACTGCCCTGTGCCGCCTGGTGGACAGTCCTGTGTACCATGGGTAGTTCAGAGTCCTCCTGGCAGCCAGACGTAGGAGTTAACAGTCACTGTCCTCAATATGTTAGTGTGTTGCAAGGGATGCTGAGACTGACAAATACCAATCATTTGCCTTTCCTTTATCAATCACATTCAACCTGAAGTTGTACCCCCAATGGAACGAAGTGAGGACATTTGTACATTGACTTTTCTATCTAAATTCAGTATATTTCTAAATGAAAGTATTAAATTCAAGTCACTATTTAAATTGTATGTGGGGGAGCCAGGCACGGGCACCCATCTATAGTGCCAGCTACTGTAGGCAGGATTGCTTGAGCTGAGTTTTGAGTTTAGTTTGCACAACAGCAACATCCCATCTCAAAAAAAGTTGATGGGGTCCGAATGAATGTGAGGCTCTGCTTAATGACTCGAATTCCTTGACTTTGGGCCAGGGAAGTAGAAGGCCACGGAATGTCTGAGTTGGAAAGAAGACACTTGGTGTAGTCTTGTTTTCCTCACCCACCTGCTCAAAACCCAGCTGCAGATCATTGTGGTCCTCTCCTGAAGAGGGTGGGATCCAAGCATATTTTAAATAAATTCACCAAGATATAAGGGATTTACCTTGCAGGAAAAAAGAACTCAGTCACGGACGTCCTCGCTACTGCCCTGCTGCCCTCTGGAGCTCAAGGTTCCCAGGCTCGGCTCGCAGTCCGATCCGGGATGCCCCGGCTCACCTGGTCAGCCTACTTGCACCCGGAGACACCGAGACCCTGCCTGCTCGCCTTGGCCTGAGTCCCGCCCCTCGGGGAGAGCAGGGCCCGCCCTCATGCCAGGCTGGGCCAATCAGGTGCTGTGATCTCAGACGTCGGCTGACGCGCGGCGCCGAGTCGGCCGCCGGCAGACTCCCCCGCCCCGCGCTCGGCGGCGCGGCCCCGGCAGTCGTCAGGCCGGGCGGCCCGGGGCCCCGCGCCCTCCCGTTAGCCATGCAGAGCCCCGCCGGGAACGCGAGCCGCGGGCTGACAGGCGGGCCGCCCTCCACGGTTGCCTCCGGGGCGGGCCGCTGCGAGAGCGGCGCGCTCATGCATAGTTTCGGCATCTTCCTGCAGGGGCTGCTCGGCGTCGTGGCCTTCAGCACGTTGATGCGTGAGTCCGGGACCCAAACCCCTCCTCAGGCCTCGCGCTGGGAGACCCCCGCCCCGCTCCGCCCCGCCCCGCGGACCCTCTTGACCAAAGAGGTCTGGCCTGGGGACTGGGCCCTTAACCAAGCTGCCTTCCTCCCCCGCGAGCCCAGGCTGGGCATTCCCGGACTTGAGATCGTTCTGTCCCTGACCCCACCGTCCCGAGTCGGGAGGCACCCAGCAACCTCGCCACCTTACACGTCCGTCTTCTGAGATGCCAGTCTAAAACTTGTCCCCCTTTCTACCTTTTCATCACAGATTAAGGTTACCCCGAATGTGGCATCCCTCTCTCTACCCCTTCTCAAGGGCTCGTCGGTAGCCTTTCCCTTTGCGCTTTGAACCCACATCCCTACATCTAGTCTAGTGCTGAACGTTTTCTTTTTTCTTTTTTGCACTTCACTCTTAAAGGATTTGCATTCTCTGTTATTTGAATCTTGCTACCTTGCATCCCTTGCGTTTCCTGAAGTGAGTGTGGTAGGTTCCCACATTGTTTTCCAGAACCACTGGCCCCCGCCCTGTGATCCCTTTATTTTCCCTTGGTCATGACAAGACCTGCCCAGACGGCCCTCTCACCACACCTCCTCCTTTCTCCCCCTTCTTCTGCAGCAGGACCACCTGTTCTTTGTCCCGAGCTGACCTTAAGTTTCATCTCAGGACTTCCCTGGTTGTTCCCTTTCCCGACCCACTTTTATGATGCATATATGAAATTTCCTTGCTTTGTATGAAACTCAGGCAAACTAATGACTTAATGGAGAAAGAGGCGCAGAGGGTCCAGAGAGGTCCCAGAATCCCTGTGCTGTCACTAGGGGCACTTCCTTGGGAGTTTCCTAATGAGAAGAAGTCCCAAAAGGCCCTGGTTGCCCCATGGGAAGGGGCGGGGGTAGTGTGTCTGTCGTGTGTGGCTTAGAGTTGGTGAGAGTGTTGTTTTCTTAGAGTACATCCTTTTTATAAAAATAGCTAGCTTTGTGTGGCACGTGGGCCTAGGAGGACCCTGTGATCAGATTTTGGGTGAAGATAAGGTTATAACTGAGGGTACAGAAGCTTTAGTTCCAAAATGACTTGCTCTCAAAACTTCCCTGCCGTGCTCAGTGGGCAGGGTTCGGGCAGCTGTGTGCAGGTATCTACAGGGTCTCATTACCGTACTTGTTTATAACAAGTGTTTGCGGAAGTGAATTATCTGAGGCTTCAGGTGACCCTGGATAGGTTCTGACCTGCCACACTGCTTTCTTCCAGTTTCTTGGCCTTGATAAATCCTGCAACAAATGTCCAACTTTAGTGTTTGCTACTTTTTCTTTCCCTTTTAGACTCTGTTTGCCTTGCTACCTTCTCTGCTAAACAAATACTTATTCCCACAAATGATTTGTGACAACTTTAGCCAAATTCAGTTGCTGATTTGGGAACATGTTGTGTGTGTGTGTGTGTGTGTGTGTGTGTGTGTGTGTGTGTGAAAGACTTTGTGAGTAGGGCCTCACTCCTCTCCCACTTCCCCCACTGCCAGCCAGCCCTCCTTTCTCTCTGAAAGAACTGTAGACTTAATTTGGGAGGCAGGTGTTCTAAGAATTGAGTTTAGGGCCCCACACATACTGGGTCTACCAGGAGGCTGTATTCTGATTTTTTTCTTTTGTTCCTTGACCAGAGATTCTGTGTCCTACCTTGCTGTTATGGCTTCTATCTAGGTGCACCCCCCACCCCCGCAAAAAAAAAAAATCCCTCAAGCAGTCATAGGTGGGGTTTTTCAGAGGTGACTGGCTTCAGCGTGTGAGATACTGGCATTTAGTGTGTGATTACTAAATTAGTCACTGATTGGTTTGGTATAGTGGATCATGGGAAGGCCCTATCTGGGTGTAATGTTACCCACCCCTAGTGTGGGTAGCCTGGATAAAGTACAAGGATAAAGAACATTGTTGTTGGCCACTTGCTGTTTCTTTGCTGCCTCCTGCCTGCCATGAACTGTTTCTCCTCTGTGATCCTCCTCTATCTGCCTTGGAGCCAGCTATTAGGAACTGAAACCTCTGCAAACTCTAAACTGAAATAAACCTACCCTCCTTAACTTTGGGTGTCAGGTATGTTGTCTCAGCTATGAGAAAAGTAACTAAGCCCCTAGCTGTGGCCTGCCTTGTCCCCTCTAGGTTTTGGCACTTGTAATTCAGAGAGGGAAATGGGATTATGATGGGGTAGAGTAGCTCGCAGCTGAGAAGGTATGCACAGTTGAATGTGTTCAGAGTGCAGACGAATTCAAAACCTTTGGGTACATGCTCACCTCTATTTAATATTAAGTGTGATGGGGACAACCCGATTGGGGACCCCCTCCTGTCCCTCTCTTGGACAGGAGCTTTCTTTCCCTCAATAAATATATTCTGCTCATAACCTCAAAAAAAAAAAAAAAATAATATTAAGTGTGAGTATCTAGGCAAATTCCACTGTAGTGGGTGCTATCTCTCTTTGAAAACTGGAAAACAAAATAGACTTTTGCTCAGTGGAAGTCTTTATGTGGAAGGGGTTTGTGGAAGTGGCTGGTAGATACTGAGACAATGGAAAGTATGAGAGATGAAGAATTGGAAGGGTATCCCAGCATGCCATGCTCGCCCCACCCTCAGGGTGCACTTAGATGGCCATTGAGACTGGGCGCAGTAGTGCGCACCTGTAATCCCAACTCTTTGAGAGGCTGAACACAGGCAGAGCACTATGAGTCCAATCTATGTAGTGAGCCCCTGTAGATCCTTACTAAAAAAATATAATAATAATAATAATGATAGTAATAATGATAAAAAAAAAAAAAAAGAATTGGAAGGGCCAGAACTGCTGCTGCCCGAGACCCAGAAATGAAGCCAAGAGCAAGGCCCTCATCACTCTACCTAAACACAGAGGCAGCAGGTCAAGGTGGTCACCTGTGGAGCTGGACAAGATCCCACTGGTGCAGCTCAGTAGGGGATATGCTTTGTGTGGTCTTGCTGAAGTAGAACTGGGGAGGAGGCTCCTTCCTGAACTGCTGGGAAGAGGAAGAAATCCCCAAGAGGCTGCCTTATACACCGGAGAAGACTTTGCTGGGGGGTAGAAGGGCAGTTGAGGTAGTGATCTCAGAAAGTGAATCCGGCGCTGTTAGGCTCTGACGTTTTGGGCCCATCTGGCCCAGCTGCAGGAGGTGGAGGGCCAGGCTCCTGGGTGTGAGTGTTCAGCTGGCGGCCCTGAAGGAGCCAAGAGTGTGGTTCGTTCAGAGGAGGCCCTGCCATCCGTTATTATCATCTGCAGGCACATTTTAAGTGCTACTCAGTCTGGTCTGAGCAGTTAGAACTAACAATCTCTGTCCTCCTTGACGCCATAATCATTCCCCTTCCAGGTGTTTGTGTCCAGGCAGTGGACTCAGTGCCTCTCTTCTTGGATGCCTCTCACTCTAGGGACAGGAACTTGGGTTTTCCTGCTAGACCAGCTCCCTTTGTAGGCAGTGAGCCCGCTTCTCTGCCAGACAAGCTGAACAATCTTCCTCACTTCAAATCCCTGACTTCAGTGAATCCTCAGATCACTGGGTTTGTGTGACATTTATTTTGTTTTTAACATAGACACCCCTTTAACCAGTTGTTCCATTTTTTTTTAGCTGGGAGATTTTGTCCTGGGGAAAGATGTCACACAGATCTTCGCCCCGGGGAAAATACAAGGATTATTACCACTCTGGCACTCTAAAAGACTTCTTGCCTCATGCGTGTTTTTGTGGCTTGGTCCAGGCAGCTGTGAGCACACATGCCGGTCCTATCTGTGGCTTCTTCAGTCTGTGTGACCATGCAGACTGTCACAGGCTACCTCCATGGGCACATTCTGATGCCAGCATCCCCTCGGTCATGAAGTTGTGGGCTTTGCAGAGGGTCCAGCTAAGGAGCCCTGTGTGTGCAAGGAAAGCCAGGCAAACCCACAGGCCAGCTTATTAGGTGACTTTCCACTGTGGGTCTTCTGGGATCTTGCAGAAGTGACTGATTGTCTTCATTTAAAAAAAAAAAAACTAAACTAAACTAAAACTCAAACAAACAAAAAAAACCACTTTAAGTGAGAGGGCTAGGTTGTGCTCTGCCTATCAAGCAATTCTTATTTTGGTAACTTTGGCTCTGGTGTGTGATTCAGTGAAGTCACGCAGACCAGAGCTGAGCAACCCTGGCACTCAGCAGGTTGTTCCAGTGTGGGGAAGTTGCCCGGCCGTCAGCCCGAGGTCACTATTGGCCAGTGTGTGTGTTGGCATTTGTGGGTGTTTATTCTCACAGCTTGTGAGTGCAAAGCAAACCCAAGCCTTCTTCACTGTGCAGTTGAGAGCTCTGAGTTGGAGTGTGGAGAGAATTAGCTTTTAATAAAACAAGCATTTAAGAGCTTGGATAAATCTGTTTTCATGTCACCGATATACAGATCAGCAGGCTGGCGGAGATCTGTGTGGCACAGGAACAGTGAGCAGGGCAGTCCTTGTCCTGTGGCCCAAGTAAAATCACATCCAGTCCACCTTAACCTCCAGAATGCTTGGTGTTTTCTGTCCTGTTGAGCTGACTTCTCTACATCCCCTGCTGGTGCAGCCTTTCTTCGGATCACCACTCCCACACCCTACACGCCCTCCCAGTTTTTATGTCAGCAAATGTCAGACACAAAGGAAAGATGAAAGACAGTACAGAGAACATCTGTCTGCTTTGTACCTAGACTCAGTGATTGTTTGAACTTTGCCACATTTACTTTATCTCCTTTTGGGGAGGAGGGTGCTTGGCTATTTGAAGGAAAGTTGCAGCAGTACCAGGTCACATGTCATCCCTAAGGACCTCAGGTAAGGTTCCTGGGGGCAATCTTCTCCTACATAGCCACAATCTCTTATACAACCTAAGAGAATTAAGAATATGGTGACTCCATACTATTACCTAATAAAATATTCTGTATTCACCTTTCCCCAAATATCACAAGTCTTTTCTAGCTAGAGTGTTAAAAAACTGATCCAGGAACTTG